TAGCTTCTACCTCCATGGACCTGTCCACGCCCCACAACCCACCCCGATAGTAGCTTCTACCTCCATGGACCTGTCCACGCCCCACAACCCACCCCGATAGTAGCTTCTACCTCCATGGACCTGTCCACGCCCCACAACCCACCCCGATAGTAGCTTCTACCTCCATGGACCTGTCCACGCCCCACAACCCACCCCGATAGTAGCTTCTACCTCCATGGACCTGTCCACGCCCGACAACCCACCCCGATAGTAGCTTCTACCTCCATGGACCTGTCCACACCACACAACCCACCCCGATAGTAGCTTCTACCTCCATGGACCTGTCCACACCACACAACCCACCCCGATAGTAGCTTCTACCTCCATGGACCTGTCCACACCACACAACCCACCCCGATAGTAGCTTCTACCTCCATGGACCTGTCCACACCACACAACCCACCCCGATAGTAGCTTCTACCTCCATGGACCTGTCCACACCACACAACCCACCCCGATAGTAGCTTCTACCTCCATGGACCTGTCCACACCACACAACCCACCCCGATAGTAGCTTCTACCTCCATGGACCTGTCCACACCACACAACCCACCCCGATAGTAGCTTCTACCTCCATGGACCTGTCCACACCACACAACCCACCCCGATAGTAGCTTCTACCTCCATGGACCTGTCCACACCACACAACCCACCCCGATAGTAGCTTCTACCTCCATGGACCTGTCCACACCACACAACCCACCCCGATAGTAGCTTCTACCTCCATGGACCTGTCCACACCACACAACCCACCCCGATAGTAGCTTCTACCTCCATGGACCTGTCCACACCACACAACCCACCCCGATAGTAGCTTCTACCTCCATGGACCTGTCCACGCCCCACAACCCACCCCGATAGTAGCTTCTACCTCCATGGACCTGTCCACGCCACACAACCCACCCCGATAGTAGCTTCTACCTCCATGGACCTGTCCACACCACACAACCCACCCCGATAGTAGCTTCTACCTCCATGGACCTGTCCACACCACACAACCCACCCCGATAGTAGCTTCTACCTCCATGGACCTGTCCACACCACACAACCCACCCCGATAGTAGCTTCTACCTCCATGGACCTGTCCACACCACACAACCCACCCCGATAGTAGCTTCTACCTCCATGGACCTGTCCACACCACACAACCCACCCCGATAGTAGCTTCTACCTCCATGGACCTGTCCACACCACACAACCCACCCCGATAGTAGCTTCTACCTCCATGGACCTGTCCACACCACACAACCCACCCCGATAGTAGCTTCTACCTCCATGGACCTGTCCACACCACACAACCCACCCCGATAGTAGCTTCTACCTCCATATGGACCTGTCCACGCCCCACAACCCATCCCGATAGTAGCTTCTACCTCCATGGACCTCTCCAATGGTGTTGGACCAGCGCAGAGGAACCTGATCATGGGTAAGAATGACCTATATCGATGAGGAAATCTACAGAGATGAATACAAACAATTTGAGACTTTGGAGTTAACCACAAAAGAGATTAGGTCTATATCGAGTACTAGGGTATCTATTGTAGGGAGTAGGTCTATATCGAGTACTAGGGTATGTACTGTAGGGAGTAGGTCTATATCGAGTACTAGGCTATCTATTGTAGGGAGTAGGTCTATATTGAGTACTGGTGTATCTACTGTAGGGAGTAGGTCTATATCGAGTACTAGGGTATCTATTGTAGGGAGTAGGTCTATATTGAGTACTTGGGTATCTACTGTAGGGAGTAAGTCTATATCGAGTACTTGGGTATCTACTGTAGGGAGTAGGTCTATATCGAGTACTTGGGTATCTATTGTGGGGAGTAGGTCTATATCGAGTACTGGGGTATCTATTGTGGGGAGTAGGTCTATATCGAGTACTAGGGTATCTATTGTGGGGAGTAGGTCTATATCGAGTACTTGGGTATCTATTGTAGGGAGTAGGTCTATATCGAGTATTTGGGTATCTATTGTGGGGAGTAGGTCTATATCGAGTACTAGGGTATCTATTGTGGGGAGTAGGTCTATATCGAGTACTAGGGGATCTATTGTGGGGAGTAGGTCTATATCGAGTACTAGGGGATCTATTGTAGGGAGTAGGTCTATATTGAGTACTGGGGTATCTATTGTGGGGAGTATTTCTATATCGAGTACTGGGGTATCTATTGTGGGGGGTAGGTCTATATTGAGTACTGGGGTATCTATTGTAGGGAGTAGGTCTATATCGAGTACTGGTGTATCTACTGTAGGGAGTAGGTCTATAACGAGTACTAGGGTATCTATTGTAGGGAGTAGGTCTATATCGAGGACTGGGGTATCTACTGTAGGGAGTAGGTCTATATTGAGTACTGGTGTATCGATTGTGCAGAGTAGATATATATGGAGTACTGGGTTATCTACCAAGGTGAGTAGGTCTATATAGAGTAAAGGGTTATCTACCAAGGGTAGGTTTGTATAGTGTACATGCTTATCTACCATGGTGTGTAGGTCTATATAGAGTACAGGGTAATCTAATGAGGTCAGTAGGTCAATATGGAGTACAGGGTTATCTACCAAGGAGAGGAGGTCTATATAGATTACAGGGTTATCCATCAAGGGGAGTATGCCTATATTGAGTATAGGGTTATTTACCAAGGAGAGGAGGTCTATATAGATTACAGGGTTATCTATCAAGGGGAGTATGTCTATATTGAGTATAGGGTTATCTACCAAGGGGAGAAGGTTTATAGAGTATAGGATTATCTACCTAGGGGAGAAGGTCTATATAGATTTCAGGGTCATCGACCAAGAGGAGAAGGTCTATGTAGATTACAGGGATATCTACCAAGGCGAGTATGTATATATGGAGTTCAGGGTTATCTACCCAGGCGAAAAGGTCTATAAAGAGTATAGGGTTATCTACCCTGGGGAGTAGGTCTGTAAGGAGTTCAGACTCAAGATATACTGAGGGGAGTTTGTCTATTTAGAGTATAGGGTTATCTACCCTGGGGGGTAGGTCTGTAAGGAGTTCAGACTCGAGATATACTGAGGGGAGTTTGTCTATTTAGAGTATAGGGTTATCTACCCTGGGGGGTAGGTCTGTAAGGAGTTCAGACTCGAGATATACTGAGGGGAGTTTGTCTATATAGAGTATAGGGTTATCTACCCTGGTGAGAAGGTATATGTGGAGTTCAGGGTTATCTACCAAGGTAAGCAGGTCTTTATATAGATTACAGGGATATCTACAGAGTGGAGTAGGTCTATATAGAGTACAGAGTTATCTACCAGGGAGTGTAGGTCTATATATAGAGTACACATTTATCTACCACGGGGTGTAGGTCTATATAAGAGTTCAGGGTTATCTACCAAGGTAAGCAGGTCTTTATATAGATTACAGGGATATCTACAGAGTGGAGTAGGTCTATATAGAGAAGAGTTATCTACCAGGGAGTGTAGGTCTATATATAGAGTACACATTTACCTACCAAGGGGTGTAGGTCTATATAAGAGTACAGGGTTATCTACCAAGGGGTGTAGGTCTATATAAAAGTACAGGGTTATCTACCAAGGGGTGTAGATCTATATAGAGTCAGGGTTATCTACCAAGAGGTGTAGGTCTATATAGAGTCAGGGTTATCTACCAAGAGGTGTAGGTCTATATCGAGTCAGGGTGTACATGTAGGTCTATAGAGTCAGGGTTATCTACCACCGGGTGTGATCTATATAGTCAGGTTTATCTACCAAGGGGAGCAGGTCTATATAGTCAGGGTTATCTACCAAGGAGAGTAGGTCTATACAGAGCCAGGATTATCTACCAAGGGAGTAGGTCTATATAGATTACAGGGTTATCTACCAAGGCGAGCAGGTATATATGGAGTTCAGGGTTATCTACCCTGGGGAATAGGTCTAAAAGAAATATAAGGTTATCTACTGAAGCGGAGTATGTTTATGAAGAGTACAGGGTAATCCACTGGGGGCAAATACACTTTGTACATGAGGAGGCCTTTGTTTAGAAAACACTTCAAACTGATTTTAAATTCTAGCTGGAGGTTGATAACTAAGTTATTTAGCCTTGACTTCATAAAAGTATCATTCCAGGACACAACATGTACAAAGTACCATTTTGGTTGTTTGTGTGGGGTAAAACATCAATGCAGCATCTATGGTCATATGAAAAGGACTGCCTTAGGAAACACTTCTCAAAAGGATCGAAAATTTCATTGAGACATTAATGTACTTCTGTGTCTGAAGTGACAACTTTTCTATCGACAAAATTGCAATGACGGACCAAATGACCTTGGAGACCTGAACTTGTCCGAGGTATCCTCATGCATAACTTTTGAAAAATGTGTTCAGACAGAAGTGAGTTGAGCAGTGACAATGAATTGGATAAGTCAGGAGCTATACAAAGATTGCAGTGTTGTGTTTTTATCACAATCAGTGACCTTGACCTTCTGTCTCTGTATTTTCATAATTCTACGAGCCACTGGACAACAGGCATTAGTCATCATTAGGATGACTCCTAACTGAAGGCTCTGTCCTAATTAATTATGCGGGCCCCAAATTTATGTCTATCAAATGTTCATTTAAATAGCGTAATTAGCACTGGTCTCAGAACTAACAGGTAAACCACATGTTTGATAGCAGCAGCACTTAAAAAAAATCAACAAAATAAAATTCAGAATTGAAAACAGAAAGTGTGTTTCCAGCACGGAGGATACAATAGCTTTGACATAATTACCTATCACCTTGCAAGTAGTTCAAGGTCAATTTTCCCCACAAACTTTGTCTGGCTTCATTAAAGTAAGCCTATCATCACCTTGAAAATAGTTCAATGTCATTTTCCCCACAAAGTTTGTCCGATTTTTCTCCAGTAAGCATAGCTCAACCGAAAGGCTAATGGATAGACAGACCACGGACACTATGTCATGGCATAAGCTCATCTGCCTGTGTGCAGGCAAGATAATGATGACCAGTAAATCTAATTTTGATATCTTCATCTTTATTACCATGCATATGAATTGCATACAACAGTGACAAAACCGCCATCAGCAGGCCCTAGTTTCATGAGACATCTTTTCCTTAAAATACGTTTCCCCAAATATCATTATTCCAGATGGGAAGACATGGTTAAGCTCAAGAATATTGTAAAAACTTTGGATAAGAAATGTTCATGAAACCAAGGCCTGGTCTGGCATCTGATGTAGGTGCCAGGATTCCAATCATACTCCTAAATAAAACTTCAAGGGGCTAAACTGCCATTTATCATTGCTCTCAAAACTTTCTTCCTCTTTAAAGTTTCCTGTTGTTTTTGTCAAGTTTACATTTCATTCAGAACCATTCTGTTCCACGTTCACTTTAAATAACCCACTGGCACAGTACATTACTGTTATGACTTCATTTCATTTTGTCCGACAGTGTAGGCCAGAAAACTCTCAAATTCCACACATGCAAGCTTAACAATAACAATATATAGGCTTCAGTTTTCTTCCGATACAACATTGTTCAAATACAATACAATGTAAAAAGAGAAGCTTCAACTCAAGGATCTTTTATATGTACTCTAGGGCATGAACTAACTAATCTTTAAATAAAATCCTTTCATTTGACAAAAGGTTTCCTGTAAAAATCCTTATATATTACATTTCTCAAGAAAAGTCAGCATACCTCTTTAAAATCCTCATTCCTGTTCTCATTCTACAAAATATTCCTCATTCTTTCATCTCCCCAAAAATATTGCATACATCTTTCACGGCAAAACAGTGCATGTTAACCATATACACCACATTGATACATACACAACGTCAAGCATCACAAGGGACACATCTAGTATACAACACTACTCTATGATGTGTAAATCAACAATCTCCACTTGTTTCCACTGGGCAAAAACACTACCAAGCATATGTAATTACTTACTAAATGAGTTCTACCAGGTTTGCCACGAACATGTACAGCATTGTAAACCTGAATTAGCGACGGTGACAAACGTTGTATTGAATTTGTTTGTGAATTACTTAAGGTCTTTGGTTGATGGTTTGCACTAGACACAATGATCTTTAATCTTGTGCATTCCTTCGACATTGGAAAGACACCTCAAAATTATCCTCATTGAAAACAGGATCTAGATCTACTTGTTATTTCTGTGCTGGTGCCGTCAAACACAACACAATCCTGCAACAAACTAGAAGCTAAAGAAACAATAAAGTGTGCTGACAACAAAAAACCATACAGGTTTGTATTAAATACAAATTCATCATTGAAACCGGACATCAGATTCATTATGATAACAAATAATGTGCTTTAATGAACAAATTATCCTGGTCCTCTCTGGGCAGTTGTAAACTGGTACCAGGTTGAACAGTATGTTAACTAATGTCTATTAAAATTAAATTACAATTTAAATAACATATCAAAAATGTTAGTGTTTGCTTAAAAAATGATGCATGTCAATAAAACAGCAATTTGGAGTCAAACTTAGTCTTTACAATGCAAATCTACTATCATCTGGAATTCCCTACAGCTGCTATCTACCGATATATATTCTACTGGTGAAAGAATTTCTTTCTTAAATTTTCTTTCCCATCAAATCAATCAAATAGAGTGATGATGGAGTGAATGGTTTCATAACACCAACAGCTAAAATGGCTGATGGCATGCATAACAGGTATAAAACCTGAATAAAAATAGCTATCGATACAAATGTGCAAAGAATTTCATTTCAGGAAATATAATTCCATACTGTGAAGTGCATAAATAGAACTATTTGTGAAAAATGTCTTTAAGTTTCAGGTTGACAGACTATTTCATTGATAAAAAGCTTCATGATCTGCTGGTATGCACAATCTTGATATGGCTAAAATAAATTGTACAAATTCGTTCCACTGCAATGTAAATACAGTGAATTTTGTGTGTGAATACTTAACTCACTGAAGTGTCAATACCAGCAGATCACAAAAGTGTGTATACACAAATGTTTGTCAACATAAACTACAAGTGAAAGTTATCCACAAATCATATACATGATGACCTGAATATATCTAAGAGCAGTTTCTATTATTAAGAAAGTTTTGCATTGTATTTTGTGAACAACAAAAAATAATATTCAAACCAGATACTCAAATTTTGACAAGGCCCACCTTGCACGATTAGCTTAAGTAAAAATGTAATACCGGAAAAAAAGACATGATATAAATATTACATTTCAGTCGAGTTAAAAAAAACATGTAAAATGAAAATGAGATAAATCAATGCAGGATCAGAAAGCAGTAATAGCAAGTCAATTAATAACATTTTGTGTGTATTAGAATTCAAATGTCAAAACATGTCATTACAAAAATTAAAACATGTTACTTACTATTGACGATATCTTTTTTTTGAGAATGAGAATCCTAGCTGTTAAATGCCTGAATTAATCCATCTCTACCACTAAAACTTCCTGGTACGAACTGTGTTCAACCAAAAATAAACAAAAGTGTTTGAGATGCTTTTTGTTTGGCAGATGTTTTCTTATGGACAGCAGACAACAATTAATCTCAAAATTGATCACGCTGTTCATCAGAAACTGTCATTACATCTGTTTATCTGAAGTCAGAATTTAATTTCAACAAAAACATGCAGGATATGCACTTGGAACATTAATTCTCCCTTGATCATTATTCTCCATGGATTTCTCCATAGAATAACATTCTCAGTAAAAACAAAACTCTATCAGATCTTTTGAAATTGTTCCAATACATTTAGTTTCCAAACAGTTGGTTACAAGTTCTTATAGTCGGACACATCTCACACTGTGCCCTGCTGTATCTGAGCATATAGCTGAGCCCCATCGGCACTTCCGTCCATGGGCTGCTGCATAACGTACTGTACAGTACCATCCTGGTCCACAATGGCATGCGTTGCATTCTCCCCACCGTCAGCAGTCTGGACAATGATGATTGTCTCCTGTCCACCCTCAGTCTGCAGAGTAGTCAGTCCCTGTCCAGCCAACAGCTGAGCTGTGTCACTGACCACGGCTGTTGTGTACGCCCCGTCAGCCCCAGACACTGTCACATAGGTCTGTCCGTCACCAACATCTTCCTCCAGATGTACATTCTCAACCTAAAAGAAAACCAAGCAGATCAAAATCATATATCTCAACGTGAATCAACAGACCGGCTTATCAAATGTTTTTTAAACAGGAAAATATTCAAGCTATGTAAAAAATATTATTTTAAAAAAAAAGGACATCTGGGAGATTTATGTCAAAATAAATACGAGAACATTGACACGTCAGGTTTGGCCGTACTGAATGTCAGACCATCAATATTTATTCAGTCACATGATTATCATGTTACAATTTTCCAGAAAGACGTTGTGCAGTTGACACTTGGTCAACAATATTTTTCTTTACCATACCATGGGTATGGAATATTCTCTACTCCTTATGGATTCTCTACTCCTAACTGATTTTGCTCATCGAACTATCAAAGCTGATAGCTTATCATTGCAGCATAAAACTGGCCAAATATGTGCCTAGGCCTCTTCGTTATTCGCAAGTCATTTTTAGAAACAGATGACAAAGAAAATCAAAGCCACACCATTACATCAGCTCACTTGACCTTTGAGCAGGTGAGTTAAAAAAAGAGTAAATTTCCTTTGCAAAAGCAATTTTGAAATTAATCAGGAATTTTAAAAGATTTGTTGAAATATCTGAAATATACATTAAACATTAGTACTTACCTGTGCAACTGCAACCTGTTCATCCAAATCATCGTCATCTAGTTCATCATCCGAGTCCTCAAGCTCAAACTTGCGAATGATGGCCTGTGCAGCCTCCCCAGCGGTGACGTGGACCTTTCCAATGTGTTCCAGCAGGAGCTTCTTACGTTTGAAAGTCTCCTGGCACATGTCACATTGGTAGGGCGACAGCTTTTTGTGTACCAGTTGGATGTGGGACATGAGATTGGATTTGTTGTTGAAGCAACGTCCACAGTCTATGCATTTATGTGGCTTCTCCCCTGTGTGGATCAGCATGTGGCGATCCACATGGTACTTCTTGGTGAAGCGCTTCTCGCACACTGAGCAAATAAAGATCTTTTGGTTAGGAGATTTCCATCCCTCATGAACACGCTTGGTGTGACCAATCAGGGCTCCCAGTGTCTTGAATGCAGCTTTGCATGTATTACAGAGATACTGTCTTGTGTGTAGATGCATGCCCTTAATATGGGTGTTAAGGTTTCCACGGAATGCAGACGAGTAATCACAATGAGGACACTTGTATGGGCGGCGACCAGAGTGCACAGTACGCATGTGGGAGCTCATACCGGTTTTGAGAACCACTTTACCACAGATAGGACAAGGGATCTGCATGCGGTTCTGCTGGTGGAGTTCTTGGTGGCGTTTGATATTCTTAGTGGTTTTGCCACATTCTTGACACTGCTCACCATCTTCTTCTGCACCCTGTGTCGACACTTTCATTATCTTTTCCCTCCACTTGGCATTCCTCATCTCCTCCTCATAGTCTGTCTCATCCCTGTGCTTGCCTTTGATGTGTTTCACTAAGCCAATAAAGGCTTTATCACAGAAGGGACAATTCAAGGCCTCCTCTGTATTTCTTACTGACCTCCTCTTTGGTTCCAGGTCTTCAAACATCCCCACATCGTCTTCCTTCTTTTTCCTTTTTCTTGGAGATTTCTCCTCTCCATTCACATCCACTTCCATTCCTAGTGGTCCAAATTTCTTTTTCTTTAGTTTAGGATCAGTCTGAGTTAGAACTGACCTCTTACCAGGCGACTCCTCAATGGTTTCCACCTCAATAAAAGGTACAGCTGATGCACTGGGACCACTAAGGGAAGATTCCATTGGTTCATCCTCGTCAATTTGGTCAATATTATAGATGTCTCCCTGATCTTCTCTTACTATGACTGTCTTCATTTTCATTTGTTTGTCCTCCTCCATAGGCTCTTGTTTTACTCTTGGTATGATGATTTTGCCCGCCTCGGTAGATGCGTCAGACATGGTCTGTACACTTTCACTGTTTTTATAACGTTTTCTCACAGGCATCTCCACTTCAGCTACTTCTATACCTTCCTCATCCTCATCATCTTGAGCTTCCTCTTCTGCCCCCCTTCCACGTTTCTTAGTGACAGGAGTGACAGTTGCTGTTGCAGCAGGTGTTCTTCTTGTTTTTTCATCCTCTTCTTTCCTCTTTCCCTTTCCTTTCTTTCCTGGGGACTTTGCTACCTCTTCCTCAATCTCATCCTCAACCTGTTTTCCTTTACCTGACCTTCGTCTAGATTTGTCAGATTCTTCTTCCTCTGCAAGTTTACCTCTGGTGACTGTGTCTTTGCCTTTACCCTTTCCTGCTGATGGTGTTTCTGCTTTAGCTGGTGTACCAGATTTTGAAGGTCGTCCTCGTTTCCTCTTAACTTCAACAACCTCCTCCTCCTCCTCTTCCATTTCTTCCTCCTCTTCTTCTTCCACCTCCTCCTCCTCTTCTTCTATCTCAACAACTTGTTCCTTTTTTGGCCTACCTCTTCCCCTACTCTTTGGTGTAGGAGTTTCTTCCTCTTCTTTACGAGGTCTTCCTCTCTTCTTTGGCTCACCACTTGATACTGGTGTCGCAACCTCTTGTGATTTACTCTTTCTACCTTTAGGAGTTGAAGCAGGTTCCTCTACTTCATCTTCTTCTTCTTCTTCATTCTCCTCTTCCTCCACTTCAACCTCTTTCTTTTTTGGCCTTCCCCTTCTTCCTGGTGTTTTGACTTCTGGAGTCTCCTCTGTTTTAGCATCTTTAGATGGACGTCCTCTTCCTTTAGGTTTCTCAGACGTTTCAGGTGTGTCAGTAGTTTCTTTGGCTGGTCTACCTCTCCGACCACTCTTTGGAGGCTCTGGTGTTTCTTCACTTACCTCCTGCTTGGAACCCTTTGCTGGCCTTCCCCTTCCTCGTTTTGTTTCTGGTGTATCTGAAGCTGGAGTTTCCTTGGCAGGTCTACCTCTTCCGCGTTTTGCTTCAGGTGTCTCTACTTCAACATTACTCTTTCTGCCTTTTGTTTTCACCTCAGGGGTGTCAACAGCATTTGCAGACTTCCTGCGTGATTTCTGGGCAAGAATAGCAGCAGCAGCAGCCTCTTCTGCTACTTTTGATGGTCTCCCCCTTCGTTTTGCTGGAAGTTTTTCTTCTTCAACTTCCTCTTCTTCCTCTGGTTCTTCATCCTCTTCTACATCCATCTCTTCCTCCATCTCTTCCTTCTTTTCTTCCTCTTCTTCCTCTTGTTCTTCCTCTTGTTCATCCTCTTGTACTTCCTTAGGTTCTTCATCTTCCTCAGGCTCTTCGTCGTCTTCGTATTCATCATCATCAGGTCCTGGTAGAGGCTCAACCTCACCCTCATCGTCACTATCATCATCAACATTGTAAGTTACTGCTACAGTTCCCCCATCATCACATTTTAGAGTTTCTATTGTGGCACCAGTATTTGGATCTATCACTGATGCTGTGGGAGTATCCATTTTCTCAATCATATTATCTTCTTCACTCATTTCTTCTTCATCTTCTACAATTTGCTTTTCTTCATCTTCAAGCTCCTCTGGTTCCTCCTCATCTCCCTCCTCTTCAATTGCATCCTCTGTATTTAACTGAATTATCTTAACATCTTCCTCTTCTATAAGTTCATCTTCCTCGTCGACTTCCTCTTCCATTTTTTCCTCCTCCACATCCTCATTTTCCTCCACTAATTCTGGAGAAGGCTCCACATTCTCCTGTTTTTCCTCTTGCGCAGGAGTGACTGGTCTTGTTGTATCTGGGACAGACTCTACAGTTTCCATTACATGCTGTTCCAGAAGTACTGGCTGTGCCTCCTCTACAGTTTCTTCTCCAAGTGGGATGCATGTCTCGGGTTGGATGACAGCCTCTGTTACAGCCTCTTGTACGTTTGAATTGGATTCTACTAGTGTTGTTTCAGGCTCTTGTACACTGGCATAAGATTCTACAGGTGCTACGTCTCCTGAGTCAGCAGTCAAAATATCCTCCTCTACTTCATCTTCCCTTTGTTCTGCAGCCAATATCTGCAAAAATACATAAAGTAGGTGGTAGATATAATCAGATGCTTTTTAAAGAATTTTTTTTCAGTCATCTTTATATAAAGCAAGGCAACAAACAAGCTTTAAACAATGTATTTAGCACAAATATTCATATTTTCTATCCTTTTACAAAGAAGTGGTGGACTTTCAATAGAATGTCGTTTAATCTCCTAAGGATATACACATTTTGAAAATGTTATTCTAAAGAAATAGTTGAATTTTGGCAAAAAGCAGTATGTTTCGGTGCAGACAGAATAAATTAAAAACACTAGTCATTTAAATTATAATTGTTCTCTAGAGATATATATATATATATATATGGTAGCATGCTCACTATTTTCTCTTCCCATGATATTAACTTTTTCTCCCACATATCAATATCATTAATCTTATATTTGCATTGATTATTCTCAAACATTTCAGGGGTTACCTACAACCAGGAATATGTCCTGACAAAATTGAAGGCTCTGTACCTGCCACCTTGAAGATGATATAAAAAGACTAGGTTTTCTCCCACCCATCACAGGTGTCTCACGTTTTAGCCGGGAAAGATCAGCTTGTCACCCCTTAAGGGGAGACAGCCTCTTGCCGATTAGCACGTGTTCAATTGTTCATCTGTAATTGAGACGTCATCATAAGTGAATGACGATATGCAGACCCCACGTGTTTTTGCTTACAAACATGGCAGACTACTGTCGGTGGAGTTGTTGTGACAGAAATAATAGGCTGGGAGAAAAATAATCATCCCCTATCTTGAGGGTGTAGCAGAGAAATCTCCAACCCAGAGAGTCGGGAGATTTTTCTGTCACACCCTCAAGGTAGGGGAACATTCTATTAATCCTTTGATGTACATCAAAAGAATCTTTAAGGAGAGGGGTTCCAATCACAACACATTTCAAGCGTCACATGTTTAAGTGTATGTTTATATATAATATTTATCCACTTACACTTGTGGCACCTGATCAGCTGTGTTGTGATTGGAACCCCTCTCCTTACATTGCCATATGCTATACCTATCATCCTGCTTCCACTCGGATTTGAGCGTCCCACTGATCTACCCATCTATAGCTCACACGATATTGGCTATACCGTTTTCATTTAATTAAACAAATCTTGTAGCACTGTAACAGTAAAACTGACTGGATTCAAGGACTGTTGGTTTTCTATAATCTTCAAAGCCAAAGGTGTCAGACTTACGATTACTCATTTTTACCCCACAGAAGCCAATTAATTAGCTAAATGTGTACCTGCGATTTTGTCACAACATATTCTAGGGCTTCGAGGACGCAAGTTAACATAACCCATGGAATTTCGAGGATATGTACTGATGGGCTGTTAAGACTATATCAATAATCATGTTCTATTTTTCCATTTATTAATTTCCACATACTGCTTGAATATCGACGTTCCATAGTCAAAGCACTATTTATCAATGCTTTGTTCGGAAGGACACTGCCATTAATACTGCACAAGTTTATAAAATGACTCACTTCTTCATTCGCCTGTTGGACAGCTGCTTCAACGGCACCATTACTCTGTATCACCTGAAGTCCATCTACAAAACAGCAGGTCATATAAATCTTATTGTTCTGTTCATCATTTCTAAACCAAAAACTTACATAATATCTTGAATCAGAACTTGGTAAATAAAGTAGTCTTTTCTAAAAATGGAGTCCCAAGCAAGTGATAAATTTAATTTGCCAACACTTCACACATAGGAATATAATCATGAGACCAATCTGCCAATGTTTCATGTCCCTTCCAAAGTTTTTGCTTTAATACCAGGTTCATTGTTAAAACATAGAGTATCTCTTCCAAAGTTGCAAAGATTTTTTTCCAGGAAAAAGCTGGATAGATCTCTGGCTACCTCCAAATAATTGAACACTAACACAAGACTACTCTGACTGTCTGTCAACAGAGATGAAGCGATTTGTGACCTATAAAGCTGAGGTCACCTCAACGCAAAGTAATCACAGAAGCATAACACAGTAGCTGGTAGGTAAGCAACTTCTAAAATTTCAAAATACAGATTTATTGTCTTTTTAAACCAAAATATACATATTTTTTAACAATTAGGGTTATTCCCTTATTCTACCTGTACTGTACAGACATTGAAATAAAAACAAGAGGCCCATGGGCCTTAACGGTCACCTGAGTCTATAGTATTTATTTTTGTTGTTGAAATATGTACCAATTTGAGTAAAAAATAGTATAATGTTAACTTAACTTTGTCAGGACCATGAGCTGATCATTCCTAGACCAATTTTAAGTGAGATCGGCCTATTAGAACTTAGTAGCAAAATAGCGGCCATGGCAGCCAAATTGTATTTCTGATTGACCCGAAAAATAACAACACTTTGTCAGGACCATGATTCGATCATTCCTACAAAGTTTCAGTTCAATCGGCCAAGTAGATCTTTACTTTAAGTTTGAAATAGTTTACCAAAATGGCAGCTGTGGTGGCCATATTGGATTTCTGATCGACCTGAAAAATAACAACACTTTGTCAGGACCATGAGTCAATCATTCCTACAAAGTTTCAGTTCAATCGGCCTAGCAGAACTTGACTTTAAGTTTGAAATATGTTTTCAAAATGGTGGCCGTGGCGGCCATATTGGATTTATGATTGACCTGAAAAATAACAACACTTTGTCAGGACCATGAGTCGATCATTCCTACAAACTTTAAGTTCAATCGGTCCAGCAGAACTTGACTTTAAGTTTGAAATAGGTTTTCAAAATGGCGGCCGTGGTGGCCATATTGGATTTCTGATCGACCCGAAAAATAACAACACTTTGTCAGGACCATGAGGCGATCATTCCTACCAACTTTCAGTTCAATCGGCCCAGCAGAACTTGACTTTAAGTTTGAAATGTAAAATGTTAACGGACGACGGACGACGGACGACGACGGACGAAAACGGATAGCAATAGGTCACTTGAGCTAAAGCTCAGGTGACCTAAAAATTATATTGCAAAAAATGACCTATATATAAAGCTCATATCTCAAAAGACAACACTTTATAAAGCACCTGATGAAATGTTCAAGGATACCATTTAAATGCAGGTAAATGCAGCTAAAATCAAATACCAGATAAATTCCAACATGTTGTGTTATATTGTTATTTAAATAAACCTGTCAGTCTTCATTTTCTGTCTTGGTAAAAAATACTGACGGAAGGGAGGTAATTCTACATTCTTGTTTATTTACATTTCAATTTTTACTCCTCACCTAAAGTACATGCAATACATAAGCTCCCCTATTCTTTGAATAGGATAGGTAAAAGTTTGTAAATGTGAAAAGTTGACAAATACAAAAGTGAACAAATATTGCCTAGACCCACTGTACTTTGGAATACTTTAGACATGGCTATATCTTGGTTCCAGTCATACTAAATCTTCTGCTGCAAAATCGTCTTCATACTCATTTAGCATTCACTAACTTTCAACTTTTATGAATTATTTTAACCACAAACTAAGCAAAAGTAGGATTTTTTCAAAACCAGAATAACAATATTGACAACATGTGTCAATAAAGGTATAAATTCATGTCGTTGTCATAGGTTTTTAACAGTTTTCATATCCTTAATTGGCTTTTTTTCTATTAATTGTATTTAATACAAGGGAACACAAGTTGAATCTTTGCTGCCAAGATAGAGAAAAATACAAAGGCTATACACTAACGTAATTTCAAAATTCCCCTATTATACTTTAATAAATATTGTGTAATAGAAGGTTGCAGATGACAAAATCTTGTCACTTAATACATTTCTAGGTACACATAAAAAGGTCAACATTAGACTAACCAAATTTCAATCACCCACATTTTGTACAAAAATTTGTTGGAAATTTCTGGAAGCTTTAATCACGAAATGGGCAAGATCAAAAGTTCCTAAAGTACAGTAGGCAAGTCAGTCAGTAAATGTGGCTCAATGTATAATTTATACCTGCTGTTACATGAAGAACTTGCATATGAGAAATATCAGCTTCTTCTGGAGCTTCCTCAGAGTTATCTCCCTCTACAACCTCAGCCTCCTCCACCATCTCCTCTACCGACTCCTCCACCATGTCCGGGACAACAGGCATTGGCAGAGCCTCCATGTGGTAAGACACCGAGTCCATTGACAGACCTCCCTCACACTGACCCTGCTGGCCAGCCTGCTCAGCTATTACATAGCTTGCACTGTCCACCGACTCACCAGCTGTGAAAAGTAAATTGTTTATAATACTGTCCGACTTTCTGTAACTATATGTGGATACGTAGCCCTCGACAAATGTAGCCTCAAAATTGATGTCAAGTCCATTTATTTGAACTAATTGATAGTTCTTCATTCTAAAAAGCAATAGAAAAAATACTGTAAATGAAGCTTTTGGGGTTTATAAGAAAAATCTTGTTCGAAGGAAAAACTGACTGATATGATACCACACCATGTCAGGTTTAGATGTGTATCCTGTATCTATCTAAATAAATTACCCTTTAAATCACCCGATACCCCGATATCAGTTCGCCACTTTGTTGTAAGTTTTGTAAATTCTGTATATTTGCCACTCAGAACTAAATAGATCCAGAATTTATTACTTCATATGCAGTACCAGAGAAATCGTAATATGAGTACATATAGCAAGTGTGATGGGTAACATATCTTTGATATTAAAGGTGTAGTTTGAAAGGAGCAGCACATGGTACATTTCATATTTATCACATACCCGTTGAATCTTGTTATAGTAATACAAGTAATTTTCAGACCATAAAATACAACGTTCTGTATTGCACATGTAAAAAAATATCAAAGTTTATGAAATCTTTGTATCGATCTCTACCAAATACGGAAGGTATGTCATAAAAGGAAAACCACACACTTGTGTGTTTTTTTAATGAATCAGAAAGCACTCATCTATTGCGTGGACGTATAATATATTCGTCCGCGCAATAAACTCGTGCTTTCTGATTCGTTAGAAAAACACGAAGTGTGGTCTTGCATATGTATCATTATTAAAAGGAAGTTTAGCCTTACCATGGAAATTAAGCACATCCTGATAGCAATGTGGCAGGAGGCAGGACACAAATTATATCTATGCAGGGTTGGGTACTACTCTTCGTGTACTAAATACAGTAAATTAGTCACATAAATGTAGGCACACTACTAAAGCAGCCAATGGTCAATTAAAAATTCAGAAACTTATTCAGACCACAATGAATTTCCTTTTGCAGTATTTTGTCCAGAGTACTTAGTTTTATCACAATCATATACTCTAGAATTACCTGCAACATGTACCACTTGAGTGGTGGCATTTTCCGGCTGGACTTGAGGTTCAGCCATGATTACAGCAGGCATCGTGCTACTGACAGCTTCAACTTCACTGTACTGGGCCAGACCATCGGCATCAGTTGTGAGGTCCTCGGAGGTATAGATCACCACACCAGGCTCAGGCTCCAGGGTCGACTCAGCCACCGGGTCTGCCATCACTATCTCAGCCACCGGGTCAGCCATCACTATCTCAGCAACCGGGTCTGCCATCACTATCTCAGTTTGCTACAAATATTTGAAATTGTTTCATATGTGATAATTATTGTCAAGATACAGTCTTATTCAGACTCTTGATATCTAAACTTGATGATTTCCCAGTACAAGTGACATTTAATATAACATTTCTACTTTTGTTTGTTGAAAGTAATTATAACATTTCATTAAACTATAAAACATTGGGCATTCTAAGTTAATTCACTTTTGTTTTGTTATGTTAAAGCACTCTTTTTGTCCTTAGACGGGGACTGAGGGAGTGACTGATTGTACCGATGCATCAGGCAGAACAAATCTAGGTGCGTTGGCTTTCGACTCTTAAACTATGTACAAGTGTGTATATATGTTCATTAATGGCACTGTATAATAATATAAAGGTAGGCAAAACTGAAGTTTTATGCAACATTCTTACAAAGATTATAGAGACAGAATTTCGGGCTTTTAGTTTAAGAGGGAGCTTATCAAAAATTAGTGAAAAAAAATCTATACTGATAAGAATAACTTGTCCACTACAAACGTCCAAACAGATCTTACAACTTGGTCTGTAGATGCCTCCATGGAAATTACTTGTTCCTCTTCTACCACAGACTCCCCCTCCTGTGGGACAGGATTGTCCATCTAAAATAAAACATTTATTTTAATACTTTTGATTAAAGTACGGTATAATTAGTTATCTTCATCAGCAAATGCACGATTTTGAGACATGATATTTATTATCTGCATAATTATATATATGGTATACATAATTCATATTTGATTATAATTTCTATTTGCTTGTTGGAGTTAGTATGTATATATATAGTCAAGGTTCAGTTTCCCCTAAACATCAATAATAACGATCAACATATATTATAATGAGATGCTTAAGATACACTGGAGCTAGGCTATCAGTTGGCCTGGGATCTCCTTAATTAATTTCTCCTTCTTTCTTAACACAGGGCTTAGCTTGCAACTGACTGACTCCTGCCACATAGACACTTATAAATGTTTACCTAAAGCAAGAGCAGATAACTCTGTAATACTTTAAGACGGAATACGTACAGTAATGTATTTTCCAATTTTGTGTTTTCAAATATATATATATATATATATTATGGTCGTTCAGCTTCCGACTGACCCACATTTCAAAACAAATGTTTGGTCATGATTAAATAGTAAAAATTAATGTGTTCTTTAAAACGGATTTCTGTAATTCAGCGCATTTTATATATATTATTCTCAGTATATATAAAACCAAAAATTGTAAAACTCTATTTTTCTTTCAATAAATGAATGTGTTTTAATGTTGCACAACAAAATACACATATTCACCAAGAATTATGTTGGAAATTATGTACATACAAATTAAAATTGTAGTATATATATATGTTTAAGAAGAAATAACATTCATGTGCAGAATATTACATTAAAATTTTCAAATTCACACCTTTGCTGCTATTTATTCCAACAGCCAGCCAGTATGCAGTGATGTATCATCTCCTTACATTTAAATGACCTTCACTTTAGCTTACATATTTCAATTTTCAGATAAAATGTTCATGCTTGCGCTCTTAATAAAACTACCAATTGAAGCCATCATGACAAAACTGTCCATGAAAATATATTGATTGACAAATTAAACTTGTCAATGAAAGTTATGCCCAAATTATGATTCAAATACAAGAACGATATACATGTATGTATCCTTTTGATTTAATATGTATATTGCCATGACCCTGCTCTTCAAGAGCACTCTGAATTGATCTGCTACATTGATAACAAAACTTGGGATACCAATCAGGGTATCGGGGATTTTTTTAGGGGCAAAAATAAAGCAACTGTACCAGTTAATCACCTGTTTACAAAAAAATAAGTGTTTTAATTTGTCTGAATCTATTGTATTAGATGCATGTTACACAAAATGCAATCAATCAAAATTAATATAAGTTGTTTTGTTTTATTAGAATCAGTTGAAAATATGTATCCATTCAGAATATTTTGTCTGGTCACTGAATAAAGCCTTTTCCAAAATTTAATATTTCAGTTATCATGTAATAACTTGAACAGTAATTCAAAGGAAACATTAAATACAACATGCTGAATTTATTTCATTTTCAATGTTTTTTTTATTTTTGTTTCTTTACAAGTAAATGTGTTAAAAAATATTTTCATTTATGTTCTTAATTTGTTTTATAATATGTATGCAACTAGACATTAGATTAAGGATATTTTTGTATTAAATAATTACTGTTTTTCACGGGGACAATCTCCGGAACATTTAAATGATGCAATAAAATTTAGGGATGATCATCAATGGCAGGTTTTTTTTTAAAATAAATACACAACTTAATAATATCTAAACAGTCTTTTCTCTGTTCAAGTGCCCTTCTTTCCAACTTTCATGAGAAAACACTTAATTATCAAAATCACATTTTTCATTTATAATCGCACCTCTTATCCCAATATCAGCAACCATGATGAAATTAACCCAAACTCAGACTTGCACCAATATTAATTTAGCATGGTTAAATGCAGTCGCCAATTTTTTAAATATTTTTTTGAGCTCATTCTCAATATGTATGAAATTGTGTAGAACTACAAATTATATAAAGAAATTGTCAATTTTTATTATTCAGCCAAATAAAATTTTGTTTCCTATTTGCTCCAAATTGTCAAGAGCTAAAGCATGCAAAATATATAACATGTATGATGTAACGTCAGACAGTAAGCATATTTTATAATGTCATAATGTAAAATCTAATTTAAGACTGATGATCATACCAGTTTTAAGCATAAGTGGAAACTGTTTAATAAAGACAACAGTTATTATATTTAATTGATTTATTAAAGTTGCCATTGATGCATTTCAATGTGGTGATCCATTAATTTGCCGATGTTTATTTTAACACTCCCAATCACCGATTTCAAATGACATTAATTTGTGTGCATACATATCCAGATTTATTTGATAAGACCCATCTCCTTTCATAATATTAATGATTGAAAGTAGGCCTATATAGCTACCGATCATATCTGTTGTGTTCGATAACGTTAGATGCTGGATACACCAATATGATTGAATCAAGTATGTCCAGCACCTGTGGTAGGAACCGATCTATTTATGAATATTATATATGATTAGGTACTTGTATTCAATTTTAAAACGCAGCAATGCAAGTGTTTGCGTTTTAAATGCTGCATGCAATATGCAGGAAACGATGCAGACTTTTATTGTCGAGTCAGCTCGACATAATACACGTAGTCACATGATCTAAACACTCAAGATTTTGACCTATGACCTGCGACAAAAACGTAATAAATCTGAATATATTTGTCTTTACATTTTTAATATGAATGCATTAATTCGCTAAAAATGCATTTTCTCGTTTTGCACTGCTTGATATCAACGAAACAAATTCATTTCAGGGGAACTTACTCCAATCAAAGGCAGACACATTCATTATGTTCATAATGAAATGCCGCTCCATTGGGCACTTTGTCATAAATCCGCCATTTTGAAATACGAATTATGCTAACAGATTGTCGATGGTTTTCCATGATTTCTACATATCTAATCTGAATTCACCAAGTCGTTTCTGGAACGACACTATCGGTCAACATTTTGGAGTACTTATGCGTGCCCCCATACCCGAAAATTAAATAAATTGTCGCCCCTGTTTACTTCAAGGGCAGTAACTGAAAAACAGGCCATTTTTAGTTATCGCCCGTTGTCTTTCTTCCCCACTAAGTTAACGACGGTAAAACTTACCTAGAACGTGATGGCAGTCAGATTAAGACCTATGGAAATTGATTTGAGACCACAGATTACAGTCTGTATATTCTAAAAGTCCAAATTTTTCTTTTTACAAAGTGATCTTCGATTTTTCAGCCATGAGACCCGGCACGCTTCCTTGCAATCCCACAATGCAACACGACATTGTCGTGAGCTTTCGCGGCTTTCCGTGATGTCATCATCGACACGGTTGTGATTTTTTTTCAAATCGTGAACCAAATTGTAGAATCTTCAGCATCGTAGGCTAACAGACATGACATCGTTGCAATAGTAATTCCAACAATTTTTCATATAGCATGATATGCCCATTTTCATATTTGATACATATTGATCAGCGTCCAATCCTTGATATACAAATTACAATTTCTTTACTATACCCAGATCGAGTCGTATATTATATAATACGTCTCTGCTATACCAGACTTGAGAGACCCGTCGAATAGAAATACCTACATACAAATGTATATTCTACTCTGTACTCTTTGTTTGGGCATTGATTTACAGTTCAGATATATATGGAAATCTTTAACCTATATTATCGAGGAATTAGGGAAATAACAAAACTGTTAAGTTGTTAATTGTTATGTTATTTTTTTCTCTCATAAAAACATACATGATATTTTAGTTTCTACACTGAATTAGATCCGCGTACTATCTAAGTCCGTGGTTTCTAATAACATAATTCTGATACAAACAATGCCATAAAAGGAATTTTATCTTCACTGAATTTTACAATTAATGAATTTCAATCCTGTTAGTCCTGATGTATTTCTTTATTACTTTATAACTACCCTAGAGACCGTTAAACAGCTAAGACATATATGTATATATACTACATATAGGTTTTAGCAGTTTAATTCTACCCTACTCAATATATTAATGCTAGTTGTCAGAATTCTGACAAGCACGCTGGCTTGGTACTATACGTTTTTATATCGTTTCTCCATGATGCGGTCTTTTTTAGCAGATTAATTTATATTCACATTTGATGTTACATTATTATTCTTTTTATTTCCTCCAATTTGAAGATTACAGAATAATGCGCACAAATTCACATTACAAAAAAATCATATTAAATACACATAAACACCAAATAACATACATGACATTATGCACACTTAATTACATTGAAGTCATACATTCAATAAATATCGTTAATAAGTGCATATATGATGAGGTAAACATACATATCATATCAAACATTTATATTATTTCTATTTTATTTATATTAATATTTATCAGGGTGTGAGATTATATCTACACACTACCGGTAGTATAATTTGTGCATCTTTTCGACAGCTGCTACTGATTTCAATCTAAATTCATTCATGTCTAATACATTTAACTCATAAGTCACTTGTCCCCCAATTAATATATGAATCAATTCGTGATCTGTCAGAGAGCAGTATACCAGTATCACTAATGTTTTTTCCATAGAGCACCACAACTTGTCCCGTAGGTGTTCATTATAACTACACTTTAATACCATTCCACCAATCGTTCTTTGACATATAATGTAAAACTTGTAATATTTCTCATGTAAAATCTTTCTATAATTTGAATCATGGGCTACATCAGGGATGCTACACTACACATCCCTGGCTACATGTATGATTTACTTCTTACATATTTATCATAGATTACCTTGATACACAGTGTAAAATATCATATAAGTTAAAAAAAAAACTTTAAAAAATAATTTGTCTTAGAGACAGTGATATAAATTATCATAATTATGTACTCGTTATAAAATCCATGATGTTTTTTACTCCCATCCTTCACATGTATGTAGTACCGCATTGCAGATTAAAGACATTTTTCACTCCTTTGGGGTGAGACAACCTAGGTCGGATCTCATCCCGAGGGGAAAGATCCTTAAATTGACAGGGATTGTTTGTGTATTTTGCAACTTTAGAATCTTTTTTCCCCGAGTGTATAGATTCCCTCATCTTAAATTTAATTTGATTATGTCCAAAGTTTAACTATTTCCTTTCTTTTACCCTGTTGACCATGTACGTATTATTTATAATGCAGGTATTCACGTTACGAGGTCAATGGGTTGGTGACGTGACGTTCAATTGTTGAAGTGACGTCATATAATTGTTACAGCTGGGAATGATTCATGCAGTCATTTCCTTCGTTCGTTTTTAAAATGTCATGAATAGAATGTGCGATAGGATTTCCGTTAAATATAAATTAATCGTCACTCGTGTCGTCGAGTGGCACGTTTTCACAAANGGGGTCACCTGTCCCACCAATTGGGTTGTGTCTGGGTACTCCGACATTCCTCCCACATTAAGTATAACTTGTTTCAGAACGTTTGTAAAATAAATAAAGTGTATGTATTCACTCGTGTCACAGATACTTCAGTATTTTCTGTCGCACTAGCGCATTGCGATTATACTAAGTAATCATTGTCACACTCGTAAAATATAAATGGCGTTTAACGGCAAACAATTTCCTTCTAGACCATGTAGTAGATTCTGTTTCGAAGTAATACATAACTGCAGAAACCAAGTCGAAAATCAGATAAATAAAAAAGCTAGAATTTGTATAGAAATGGAGGATGCATTGTACAACAAGTGAACTAATACGTTTATGTACATTAACCTAATACCCATGGGGAACATGCTAAAAAGAGCGTCTTCATTGTAAAGATAGATAACTCCTGTAAATCATTACGTTGTGTGCGAGTGTCGTTGTATGATCATTTATCAAGGTTCAAAGAACCATAATAAACTACAAAATTCAGAGGTCTATGTTGTCACTAATATTTTATCATTAGTCGGTTCTTTATTTGTAACAGCTAGGAGATGGAAATATGCACGGCCAGACTGGGGTTCAAACCTGGAACCCTCGACTCTGTCCAGTTCCTCTACATATTTACTTGGATGTTGTTTTTTTCCAGTTAACGTAACGAGGTGATAAGTCCAAATGCACGACCAGACCGGGGTTCGAATCCGTGACCCTCCGAACTCAAGACGGACGCTCTACGAATTGAGCTGCCTGGTCGTCGACGATCGACCAAGCCAGTTCCTATACATATTTACTTAGATAAAAAAAAATCATGTCAGGGTTAGCTTTCTATTTTTGTCCCCTTAACGTTATGATCGATGTAATCAATTCAGTTGAGCTCAGTAAATTTATCATGGATGGTGAAGCAGCATTTTTTTGTTAATGGTTCATAGCTATTTTTCATGGTTCTGATCAGTAGACACACATTTCATTTTCAAAACATTTTGACATGCGTTTGGTTCAATAAAAGTAACAGTCTTAAATTTGCATAAGCATTTGTTTACTCCGCCTACATTTATTAACGATGACGTCACACAATTGTATCTTGTTCCCAGAAAATTTGCTTAACTACGCCCACATGTATAGTTGACCTCCTGGAAATGTGTCAAGTTCTTACATCAGATTGTAAGGTGATGACGCCAGTTTGCGGGAACGTTAGTGTAGACTCTGAAATTGAAATATTTATATATCCTGGTTGACACCGCTGTTAAGGCTAAGCTCATCATTTTACGTTGTAATAAATTCGTTTGGACCTTAATCCCCTCACAACCTTTGGTGACCTTATCATGATTTAAGTGACCAAACAAGACAATAGCACATACATATATATATTAACTGTAATAAAAACACTGAAATTTTAAAACCCGTCATATCTATAGACATTAAAGACAAACAAATCACAAACATCTTTAATGTTTTTGGTCCACCCGTTGTCAGTATAATGTGACCGGGCGGAATGCTGTGCTTGGTGTCTTTGGCATGGTATTTCAGTGAGATAGCACTATAAAGTCGGCATCAGATCCGCGCTATCACAAGGAGGCAAGCACACCAACACACCCTGTATCCTGCATACACACACGCAAGCACGCATACACTACACTCATGGAAGCACGTCCTTAAATGACCTTAGCTGTTAATAGGACATTAAACAAAATTAAAACAAACTAAATCAAACCTTGTTCTGACATGTTCCTATACAATCCATGGGGATCTGATAATTTGTTAGGGCTATATTTGGACCTAAACTATAAGTTGTTCGGAACAATTTTCGGTAAAAATGCCTCCCCAATGATGATATATAACGAGTAAATATCATTATTGGGGGTGGCATTTTTATCAAAAGCTACATCATGCTGGTTAAGAGCGACACTATATTTGTATCTTCTTATTAATTTTGATCATATCCTAGTGACTTCTTACCGATATAAGACAGGATATATAACACTGAATTTAACCTTAAATCCGGTACGTATACGTACTGTATCAGTGGTCCTCGTATAAATATTGACAGAGGTACAGCTTACGTCTATGACATTTATGTTTTGAGTGGACTACAATGTTAATATTTGATATCGTTGTTATTCTTGTTGCTGCTATTGTGATTGTAATTGATCACATGTTCAGTTATGGGGGGATTTAAGTGCACAAAATAACACTGGGTATTTTGTTTTGACGTAAGACGAAAGGCATAAACATCAACAGAGTGGGAGGCGATCGCCATATTGGGAGGTACGTACCGAATGGAAGAGCGTCGTATTTACAACAGGTGATCAGAAAATACAAGTCAATTCCACACAATGATATCGAATATGATTTTTATTTATTTATTTTTTAATCCAAATAAACCCCACAACAATTCACCAAAATAACAACATTATATATATATGTACAATATAGTATAACTGAGTTTCTGTGGCAGTCCTATCACCATAGACAACATCCACTGTAAATTGACAAGTATCCCGGCTCAGGTTTATTTTTGCTCTTGTTCCGATTTCACACCCTACAAAGATAAAAACAGTTACATCACAATTATATGTTGTCATCCCAAACACACCCACACCCACGCACACATGTACACACACACACACACACACACACACACACTAACTATATATAAATTCCTGTTCATACAGAGATCGGGATTTGAGAACCACATCAACTAATGTGTATGACGATGCCTGGTGAAACATTAAATAATTAATATATTCAAACTTATATACCTCAATTGAATTAAAAAAATTAAACAAGTTTTATTATTTAATGATATATATACATGTACTTGCCTTTGGGAACATGGAAATCTGCAATAGAAATAAAAGCAAAAATGAGATGAACTAAAAACACTATATATACCTTCCAGATATGCTATAACTTATATACCCCCATACCAATGAATATCATTGTATGCATTCTCATTTTCGTTATTTGAAATAACTTAATAGTATATAGGTTAAAACCCCATATATCTACAAACCGTTATATCTCAATGAAGCTTAATAAGTGGTTATTAAAATTAAGAGAGAAACCATTCAGGAAAAAAAACACCAAATACTGATACGCCCATCATCGCTACGCTCTCTGCATCCCTGGAAGATGTCATGGCAAAATTGCATGTACGCGGCTCTGACTAATCGTATGCTGATATGTGTCCTTTGAAGATTATAGAGGAGCGACACCCGACTTCAAAGCCGGATAATTTTACCGTTATGCTGTTTCATGATTCTTTTAGTTTAAACAGTATTTTATTTAGTATATGGCAGTGACAAAATATTACAAAATCAACAGAGAGGATTCGAAAACAAGTACCTAAGTACTTATATTAATTCGGCTCCTTTTTCATGATTCTTTTGAAGAGTGAAACTAGTTTTCTTGTATTATCAACAAAGTTTCGCATTTTGAGCTTTCGATTTTGTCGTGACATATTCCAGGGGAGCAGTACATGTATATCTATTGACATTTGACATTTGCAGCTGACAACATATGCCCTGTACTCCCTCCTGTTTTCCTTAGCNTTAAACAAATGCAATGTAAATGTAAACATTTGAAAAATGTATTAAAATGACAACCAATAATTGTGTGTGTGAGATGTTATGTTATCACAAATTTCATATGTGATAGACATGAACATGTACTTTGCATTGTATAACAAAATTCTGAAAAGAAAACAAACACAAAAAACCATATGTTGTGAATTATTTAACAGTAGTACACGACGAGATGTCATTAACATCTGAACAGTCTTTTTCTTTTTTTTTTTGAATTTTCACACTGAATGGATATAAAAGACAATTGAACCCCTATTGCAGGAACAAAAACATAACATTTATAATACAGAAGACTTTATCTATTTAGAATATACATAAGCATCAGCATTCTCACTTACCAGGCACAGCGTGCAGGCCAGTATAAAACAAGCAGCGCCGGGAACGAACACTTTCAGGGGCAGATCTGTCACAGGCCTAGGTGGGGCGCCATAACCTCTCTTAGGGATAACGGGAAGCACGGATTTCCCTGAAATGTTACACGGGACGATGAGGTAGTGATGCAAAATTGTGTTAGTTTACATAAATAAAGTGTGATGACTGGTTTTTGTAAAATTAACTCTGTACTCTTTGTTTTCTGTAAGAATGCTGTACATGTATACGTTTTGATTGCGTACTAGCTATGCTTTCTCTAAGCACACCCTATACCTTTGGCCTTTGGTTTCTGTAAGAATGCTGTACATATATACGTTTTGATTGCGTACTAGCTATGCTTTCTCTAAGAATACCCTATACCTTTGGCCTTTGGTTTCTGTAAGAATGCTGTACATATATACGTTTTGATAGCGTACTAGCTATGCTTTCTCTAAGAACACCCTATACGCCTTTGATTTCTGTAAGAATGCTGTACATATATACGTTTTGATTGCGTAATAGCTATATGCTTTCTCTAAGAACACCCTAAACGCCTTTGGTTTCTGTAACATTATCTTTATATGCCTTTGCTTTCTATATCTTAAACCGTGTACAATTCAAGTCATTTTTGTTTATTATAGTGTCATACATCACAATTACATCGTACAAGTATATCGTTACACAGTATAAAAAATATATTATATATAATATATATACAGTAGTTACATAGCAGGGATCAATCATCTTAATGTAAAAACTTTATATCATATTTTTCTCTCTTCAAAATGGTTTCTGTATGAATACTATTGTATATATTTGGTTTCTGTAAAAATACCATTAAATGCATTTGGTTTCTGCAAGAATATACTATTATGTGCCTTTAGTTTCTTTAACCGAATACATTTCTTTGGTTTCTGTCAGGATACTGTGTACTGTTTTAACTGGTTACTGTAATGTATGTGACAACTTTAAGTAGCAAAAAAACCCACCTGTTTATTATGTTTGTTTAAAATTATTCTCAAAAGCTTACTAGTGCCTATTTGTTATTACTATATAATCTATATATTATGAACACCGTCCGTTTTTAATATTCCTCGTCTTCTTTTTTTCTGGTCCAAGTTTCTCCTCTCTTTACGATTCACAAACTTACTAAAAAAAAGGGTGTTTCGATTCTATAATAGCGCGTTTTGGATAAATTTGGAATGTTGTTATTTTCCTGCAAATCGACAGGCGCTTATGATGTCAATTACGGTACCACCAGTGCGTCCTATGTAGAGTCGTGTACTATTTCTGATTCTCCTTTATTGTCTCACAAGAAAACAAGGATGCATGCATGTAGCTGGCCTGACGTTAATGCTTAGAACGTCCGTACCCTTCAAGGGTTAAGGTCAAGGTTCAGGGGTCATTAACCCTTCGGAAATGGTTACTATATATCTTAACAGCACAAAACACTTATCGATAGCCAGAGAAGAAGAAAATCAACCAGTAAAATCAAATTATGCACTCCCAACTATATTAATTTAGTTCGGTAATACATCATTGCATTTCCAGACAAATGTTTGAAACAGTACATTAAATTTCAAAGAACAGACCTACATGTATGTACCAATAATATTAATTTTAAAAGTATGCCGTTTGTAAACAAATTCTTGAGATAATTGATAAATATACGTTTAAAGTAGATCTGGTAAAACAGATGATTCACACCAGGAAGTCAATATACCTAGTTTTAATCACACTGGCTATATATAGGGTTCGGTGCGGGAATCTAGCTAATTTCGTAATAATTCAACATCTTTAAGTTTGTTCATGCCAGCGACACAGGTACGGCAGTGATGACTATTTTTGCAAGGAAACCTCTTCGAAATACAGGATAAAACACAGAGTGAACGAAACCATTGCATACTTAACCCTTTCACCCCTATGTAACTTAAGTAGACTCTACCATGCATTGATATGAAGGAGCCCATTATGGTCTACAGTGTTGAAAGGGTTAACCAATAGAAGTGTAATGTTTATATACTGAACATACCTAATACACCTGTAAGTAATAACATACCGCGGTATCTGTATGAAACACCATGCCATCCCGTGTATACAACCTACTGTATCGGGTCATAGGCAAGCCATACATTCATGTGTGTATATAAAAGAGTTGTGTTTTTTCTTTGCGTTTTATTTTCATTTTCTACTTCATAATTCATATAGCCGATTGAATTATTTTTTGTGTAGATAGGATATCGGTAGTAATATACCTAGTAGTATAACTTGTTTATAACAGATAGGTTATTTTCATTTATGTACATGTATACGAAAACATGTTTGAAACGGAGTAATATAAGAGAGAGACAGAGGGAGAAAGGGATGGGGTAGGTGGTTGAAAATGTCAAGGGTTAATGCTGCATCGACAGAGGGACACCACAGGGACCTGGTAATTTGTTACAGAGGGACACCACAGGGACCTGAGAATTTGTAACATAGGGACACAACAGGAACCTGAGAATTTGTAACAGAGGGACACAACAGGGACCTGAGAATTTGTTACAGCTGTATGAGACCGATTTTCGGTAAAAATTCCACCGAAAGTCGATCTTAACCCCTAAAACATGTAAAATTCCTACGAACGCATTAGCTTAGCTCCAAATATATCTGTGAGAAAATCTCAGGTACCTGTGAGGGATACCTGACATGCTATATAAATATATACTGTGACGCCAATGGTCCAACTGTCCGTTTGCACACATATTGAAATCGATATGACACTGCGTCGTCAAACAGATTTTATTAACATAATTAATCTAATAAATCTACGCTTACAGGAAACAGAAATCATTTATCCTATTCTTTTTATTTCATATTATTTTTGTAAATATTTGCTGGTGTTGAACTTAATTTAACTCCGACATGAGTCGAAATTAAGACAGACTTTTATAAAGGCTTTCCTGTTTTTAAGTTAGGGAACTATTGCTTTTCGACGTCCAGAAAAAAATGGCGTCTATGTTAATTTATATATCTTTATCGATTTTCCGTTCGCTAGACCTTCTGACATTTATATGATCTTCATACCGATACATTGCATTTAACTACATATGTATCAGATTCAGATTATTTTATTCCTTGTGTAAGACACATCGGAGAGTAGACATACGATGACGTACAAATAGTACAGTATATTACAAATGTACAATGATACATGTATACAATGATAGTCGAATACAATATGATGTATATTGTGCAATGTGTACCTCAAGCTCCACAGTACTGTGTTCGTTATTTGTCAATATTGATACAATCATCAACATGATTAAATTGGGTACTTAATATAAAAAATATACACCTACAAATACATTAATTCTTTTTAATTGTTTTACATGTGTGTCACGGACTATTACTATTGTTATCATTCTACTTATCTTACCTGATACAATGACATTGGGTTTCCTTGAAAGTGTCGAAATATTTCTGGAGAGGACCCATACTCTGTGCCAAACTCGATTCATGGCTTTACCTGATCCGACCGTGCTGTTCTGAGGAGGAAATGCTAGAATACTAGTAGTCCTTGAAATGCGAGCCGAGTCAGGGGAGTTAATAACTGTAATGAACGAGTGGGAGGAGAGAATGCTACAAGTCACGTACGCCATATACACCCGATAAACAACGCTATCACACTCATGTACATATATTTTTTTCCCGAGTTTAAATTTTATATCAGATTAAACTAAAACATAACCCGTTCACATCTATCAAAAATACCGGTAAATAAGCCAGAATATTTAGTAATTACATTCCACTTTCACTTTGGAGCTATACTTTCGGTTCACGTAAACATTGCACATAATAAATTGCTATAGTATATATTGCTGCATTACATGTTACGCCATCCGATTATGTTTGTAATTCAATTTTAATGATTTCAATATCTTCATTATGTGCTGGGATCTTTACAGACTTACACAAAAAATTCCTGCCAGTATCAGTATCAGTGACACTGTAAAACATCCAACTCACACTTGTTAAAAATCGTGATGACTCGTCCGATTTGTTTCTGTAGAATATTAAAATTGACTTTTCGCTATTTCATTAGCCTGTTGACGCATCAATCAATCTTGATCGCGTTGGAGCGCTATGATCTTCTGATAATTGAAAAAAACACATATCGCGTTAAATTCTATGTATGTACCTGTTTGCATCTAACTGTGAGTTGTATACTTATACAGTATATCAGTTTGTTATTGATTAGGTATGAATAAGTGGTTTAGCAATGATGAATACGGATTACAATCATCTGATTTAAATGAAGACCTTCATTATAGTCTACGTCTCATTAACATATGTATTTTTATCAGATTGGGAACAAATGCTAATAAATGCGCTAATCTAAATTCAATTGACAATTTTATACGCAATTGCGTCTAATTTATGAACTTGTTAGTTAGTTATTCCGTCAACACCTAGGCGGTCTTTCTGTAAACATAATGGTGCACGCAAATGAACCTTTTCCTTAGTTGATTTCCCCCTTTAACTCTGTACCATAGGACAAATGCAGTGTTATATATACATAAGGCTATACGCTCATTTATACTGAAAAACAAAACGTATACTGAATTTCAGTGTAATAGGCTATATATATATGGGGCAAAGAAGTAATTCCAACAGTGTGGACAAGTTTAGGTTGTCAAATTTTCGGAGCATTCCGCTCCTTTATCAAGACACAGTGAAACAGAACAGTTACATGTACATATACATCATATTACACGAAGATAGAGAATTGATATACTATAATTGAAAACATATCTTGAAAAAGGAGCGGATCGCTCCGAAATTTTGACAACCTAAACTTGTCCACACTGTTGGAATTACTTCTTTGCCCCATATAATATTTTAAGTAATTCGTACCCTACGGACATACCTCCATTAGGATCCAGTGTTATATGGGATTTTACCGTCTATATTACTTCTTTAACCCATATATGTATATATATAAATAATAAAAAGGGATTAAATGTCCATGTGAAGGAAGTAAATATAGAAAAAATAGGATTAACGACCGACTAAAAAACTAGCTGCTTTCACCCTTCACAGGGCTCTTCAGGTTTATTAAAAAGAACAACGTCGTGACGTCAAAATCGGTCCCGAAATTGGACGTGCACATGACGTGGAAACCATCTCTCACTTGAAATACATTTGTATATGTGAGAGTGTGATAACAACCTTAACTGTTGATTTCCAAGCTTTGGATTGGAAGAATTCAAATGTGGTTTCGGGGGTAAACGAGTTCAGACCTCAATCTTATTTTTTCGTTTTTACAGTCTTTTGCATGATTTCCATCAGTGATAATTAATTAGCAACCTGTTCACACGGATCTTTTTAATTAAAACCATTATCCTTCTAACAACATTCTGGATTTCATTCAATATAGAGACAACGCGTGCGTCATGGCGCGGGGTGCTATATGCAGGGTTTATAATTGGTGTTTTGGTTGATTTTTCTAAATTTTACACCAGACAATGTTACCGATAGTTTTACCACAGGGGCAAGACTACTATTAATATTGATCTTGTTAGACTTTCAGTCGCAGGGTACTCTGGAATATAACGTACCCAGGGACTGGAAGTCTAACAAGATCAATATTAATAATAGTTGCGTGTCCCTGTGGCTTAACTAAGGAAAGAAAAAAAATCAATATTCACACACCTATTGCAGTGATGATGCATGCGAGTTTGATGTAACATAAAGTATGTTGTGATATACCCTGTACCATCATATATTTGTATGTTGTGATATACCTTGTACCATCATACATTTGTATGTTGTGATATACCTTGTACATCATACATTTGTAGGTTGTGATATACCTCGTACCATCATACATTTGTATGTAGTAATATACCTTGTACCATGTTACGTTTGTATGTAGTAATATACCTTGTACCATGTTACGTTTGTATGTTGTGATATACCTTGTACCATCATACATTTGTATTTTGTGATATACCTTGTACCATCATACATTTGTATGCTGTGATATACCTTGTACCATCATACATTTGTATGTAGTGATATACCTTGTAGCATCATACGTTTGTATGTTGTGATATACCTTGTACCATCTTGTATATTGTGATATACCATGTACCATCATACATTTGTATGTTGTGATATACCTTGTACCATCATACATTTGTATGTTGTGATATACCTTGTACCATAATACATTTGTATGTAGTGATATACCTTGTATCATCATACATTTGTATGTAGTAATATACATTGTACCATGTTACGTTTGTATGTTGTGATATACCTTGTACCATAATACATTTGTATGTAGTGATATACCTTGTACCATTATACATTTGTATTTAGTAATATTCCTTGTACCATTATACATTTGTATGTAGTAATATTCCTTGTTCCACCATACATTTGTATGTAGTGATATACCTTGTATCATCATACATTTGTATGTAGTAATATACATTGTACCATGTTACGTTTGTATGTTGTGAAATACCTTGTAGCATCATACATTTGTATGTTGTGATATACCTTGTACCATCATACATTTGTATGTTGTGATATACCTTGTACCATTATATATTTGTATGTAGTGATATACCTTGTACCATCATACGTTTGTATGTTGTGATATACCTTGTACCATCATACATTTGTATGTAGTGATATACCTTGTATCATCATACATTTGTATGTAGTAATATACCTTGTATCATCATACATTTGTATGTAGTGATATACCATGTACCATCATACATTTGTATGTTGTGAAATACCTTGTACCATTATACATTTATATGTAGTGATATACCTTGTACCATTATACATTTGTATGTAGTAATATACCTTGTACCATCATACGTTTGTATGTTGTGATATACCTTGTAGCATCATATATTTGTATGTTGTGATATACCTTGTACCATGTTACATTTGTATGTTATGATATGCCTCGTACCAGCAAACATTTGTATGTAGTGATTATACCTTGTACCATCATATATTTGTATGTTGTGATATACCTTGTACCATCATACATTTGTATGTAGTAATATACCTTGTACCATCATATATTTGTATGTAGTGATATACCTTGTACCATCATACGTTTGTATGTTGTGATATTCCTTGTAGCATCATATATTTGTATGTTGTGATATACCTTGTACCATGTTACATTTGTATGTTATGATATGCCTCGTACCAGCAAACATTTGTATGTAGTGAATATACCTTGTACCATCATATATTTGTATGTTGTGATATACCTTGTACCATGTTACATTTGTATGTTATGATATGCCTCGTACCAGCAAACATTTGTATGTAGTGATTATACCTTGTACATCATACGTTTGTATGTTGTGATATACATTGTACATCATACGTTTGTATGTTGTGATATACCTTGTAGCATCATACATTTGTATGTAGTAATATACCTTGTACCATCATGCATTTGTATGTTGTGATATACCTTGTACCATCACACATTTGTATGTAGTGATATACCTTGTACAATCATACATTTGTATGTTGTGATATACCTTGTACCAACATACGTTTGTATGTTGTGATATACCTTGTACATCATACGTTTGTATGTAGTGATATACCTTGTACCATCATACGTTTGTATGTTGTGATATACCTTGTACCACCATACATTTGTATGTAGTGATATACCTTGTACCATCATACATTTGTATGTTGTGATATACCTTGTACCATCATACATTTGGATGTAGTAATATACCTTGTACCATCATATATTTGTATGTAGTAATATACATTGTACCATCATACGTTTGTATGTAGTGATATACCTTGTACCATCATAAGTTTGTATGTTGTGATATACCTTGTACCATGTTACGTTTGTATGTTGTGATATACCTTGTACCATCATACATTTGTATGTAGTAATATACCTTGTACCATCATACATTTGTATGTTACATGTCATACCACTTACCCTCATATATTTGTATGTTACATATCATACCACTTACCCTCATATATTTGTATGTTCATGTCATACCACTTACCCTCATATATTTGTATGTTATTTTATGCCCTGTCCTTTCAATGCATTTCCAGATTGTGATATATACTCGGTATGACAATGTATGACATTTTGTACATAATTTATGTTCTGAATAAATCATAATTGGCTAAACTTCTGTTGTAACATCAGAATAATTTTGACTATTTAGTCAAAATGGTTGATTGATATTGGGGATTTTTTTTTGAATAAAAAACGCAGTCAAAGGTTCCTATACTATGATATGGTAGTAATTTTGTTCATAGTTATGTTGATCTTATGTCTCAGAAATGTTCAAGTCTATACATGTGATAGTTATAGCCACAGGGACGTATTACATTCTTATGACCCAGAATGAAAAGAAATACCTCATGGTTCGACCCCCAGATCACTCACTTATTACTGACAAGGGCAGTAACATAGTCTTTCGAAATTCCTGACATGTCTTTTTAAAGTTCGATTCTGACCACATGGTAGCCTTGTTGAATCGTCAGTGACCCAAGGATGTACCCCCGACAACAACCAATGGCGACATTATAAAGAGACTACTGCATGGTAGGTGGATATGTTTAGGCATTTTGTTGAGTATGACAAGCTCGATTTTGAGTGACCGCATGCGAATAAAGCTGTGCTCATTAGGGAAATCGAACTTGTGACAAGATGTATAGCAAATATCTACCTAGCATTTCGCCAGCATTATTCTGACTTTTGCTTGTGGTGATTTTAAAACTTTGACTCGGGATATGTTTTATTTGGTATCGCTGGAAAGATTAGAGTATTTTCTTTAAAACGAGCCATGGATGGAAAGAATCTGACATCATTTGTGGTCAGAATCGAACTAAAAAAACCATGTCAGGAGTTTCGAAAGACTATGTTACTGCCCTTATGAATAATAAGTGATCTGGGGGGTCGGACCATGGGGTATTTTTTCTTCATTCTGGATCATAGGAACATGTCAAGTCCCTGTGGTTATAGCAGAACCAGTAAAGAAATTTGAGGACAAATCAATTACACAACTACATTTTTATTTCTGAAAATCCCCTGAAAAGTGCACACACTTTTATAAGAGTCAACATTTGTCCACAGTACAAGACCAATTCTGAATTTTCCAGTTCACATCTTGTCTGCATATTTTAGCATCCTCTCTTCCTTTATCCTGTATCTGTTGACCTGTGGAAAACAAATACCATTGTATCAATAACACTTTATCTTGTAGGAATCGGTCTCAAAATAAGGCCTGAATGTCTTCCAACTATTTATTGCCATTATGTAACGGTCAGTTAAATGTTATATCAACATAAATATGTGTCTAAACTAATTCAATAATTTCGGTAAAGAAATAAACAAGACTGATCAATGCAGTGTACTATAAATAGTAGTGAAGTGGATGTAAAACAACTAAAACTAGAAAATGTCTGTAAGACATAAATGCCCCCGCTCATGGATGGGACAGGATGCGACGGACATGGGCAACACTATATATATATATAGTTGATATATATATATGCCCCCCTATTTCAATTGTACTATATTATATAGGGCTGCAGTGATATATCGCGATATTTTAATACGGTACGATAAATGTTTTTTTTTTGGGAGGTCATGATACACCTACCATATTTCCGGATTTTATTGTGTCTGAATTTAGTCTACTCATATCTGTTCACACATGGCAGCTCCAGCTCGGCATGCACATTGAAAGACGTAAAATGTGTGAAACTTTTAAGACATGTCCATTTTGGACTGACTCTATTTCCTGTTATAATATTGCCATTAAATATTTGCAACATATCTTTTTGTTTTGCTTCTACTGTTACTATTAATATGTATTGTGATATGTATCGTGACCATAGACAGTATCGTGATATGTATTGTATTACAGTCATTTATTACATACTTACTAATAAATACGTTTTTTTTTGTATATGCGATACGACACAATTGCTCTAACCCATATCAGCCCTCGCTGCATCACACCCCAAAACCCGTATCAGCCCCGCCGTATCACACCCCAAAACCCATATCAGCCCGCAAAACCAATTTCACACCCCATTTGAAAAAAAACACATTTTTCAATATTTCAAAAATGAAAATAAATCATAAGATAGTAGTTTTTATTAGTAAGTATGTAATAAACAGAATGAAACACGCCTTTTTCCATATCACACCCAGTATCAACCCGAGACTGCAATATCAGCCCAAGGGCCGAAGGCCCGCGGGCTGATATTGGTCGAGGGTTGATACTGGGTGTGATATGGAAAAAGGCATGTGTTATTCTCTATGTTAATGGATCGTTGCAGCTCTATGTAATATTATATATCAAACATTAAGAAACATTTTTTTAAAACTTTTTTACACCTTGCCTGTCAATATATATCTATTGTATAAACAGGGTTGCTTACTCCTTGACCCTTTTCCAGAAAATATGAAATCATTCCATTGTGTCACAACCGGTCAAAATATCACACCTGGAGCATTTTGGATCAAGAAGGTAATATTTTTTCTTCAGTCTGGTGTATGTTTTTACTATATATATCATGCTGTATAATTTTCAGAAGACTCCATGAACATGTAAAAAGAGGTAGGATTTTAGTTTCGGTCCGACACCGTGCTGTTTCCTAGATAATAGGATAAATCCTTAGTGGAGAGAGCCAAACACATGGCTTGTCAAATTTTGAAAACCAATCTGTACATGAACTATCATACAACTAAGTTTGATTCATATCGTAGAAGCACTTGTGTACTGACACTGAATTGCATACATGTCGTGTGTTTGGCACTACCCACTAAGTATTTATGGCATCATCCTTGGAACAGCATAGCCCGAGTTTCCTCTGGCCCTAACACCAGACTTAGACATTTTGACATATAGATGTCTGGTGTGGGACATCTATATGTCAAAACGTCCAAGTCTGGTGTCAGGGCCAGAGAAAACTTGGGCTTAGGGACAGCAGTATCAGTCCAACTGCAGTCAAACTTTCTTACCCTAGTCCTAGATACGATCATGAACTGATGAAGATTTCTGGAAATTATACCACATGTAATATAAAGTAATAAATACATCAGATTGAAGAAAAAACAAATTTCACGTTGATCCAGACCGCTCCAATGTGATATAATGAACGGTTACGACACAGTCGCACGTCTTCTGGAACAGGTGCATTGTACTTTGGCAGTGGAGTTAGCAATAACAACCTTGTTTATATTTACAGCTGTCGACAGATGAAGGTAGTACATGTGTACAATTTATCTTTTATTAAAGCAAAGGTTTGACTAGAGTCTGGAAACCAAACTGTCTTTAAAAAAGCAGACAAAGTGATTCTAGTACAATGTAAAACATAGACGTTTCCTAGAACTTTGCTTGGTATAAGTAGGGGTGTCACAATACATCAAGGGTGTATCATGATATATTGCAATACAGAATGCATATATTGCGATACGTATCCCAATATATTTTCATTAAGGAAAGATGTGCTCAATTTTATAATAAGTTGTTGTCGGAATGTTATCAAACTTAATCGTATATAATATGGATTACATAGATTTTTGTCAAGCCAACCATCGATTACAAAATTTGAACTATTATAAGCCTGCTTTATGCTTATTGGCATATCTGTTAGAATTTGTAGTAATTTGCAAAGTAAAACACCAAGCAGATACATAAAAAAATACTGTACTGTGGTAGGATACGTATACGATATACCTGTGTATTGCGATATACTTGTTTTCCGATATATTGTGACAGCCCTAGGTATAAGTAAAACATTTATAATATATCTTGTTCTCTTACCCCGTAAATGGCATAGCCTAAACACATAGCAGTTACTAAACCGTAAAACGCTACATCCGGCAATTCGGTCATATAAGACGATGCTCTAACACCTGTAAAGATAAAAAAAATTAAAAAAAAATGATTTAACAAATATTGGAAAAGTAGCCAAAGATAAGCCTGATTTAATTGCACTCATTTCAAGTAGAACAATAACAAGAATTATATCACGTTTGATGTCAAAAATACCATTATGTATAAACATTACAGTGGTGTGCAAAAGATGTGTTTTTTATCAATGATATTTTAGAAAACAACAAATTTCTATCATATGAACATTTTTGTTTAAAATATACCGTGACCAGTAACTTCATTGACTCACCACTTCACGTCTGCAATTTGGAATCTTTGAAGATGTTATGTAAATACCACCCTTTTAAAAGACACCTGTATGCAATTTTTTCCTCCTCAATTCAAATCTAAGCAGTTTTTCTTGCGTTTTTACATTTTCTCATTGAAGTCACAAAAAAAAATCAATTCTACTGCAAAAATGAATAGAATCCGTGAAAGAGAATTAAGCTTATCTGTATTTTTCTCTCTAAATTAATTTTGTATATGAAGGAATGAATGCTATGGTAAGATATAGGGATTACCGATTCAGGCACAACATAAATAGTTTCCTTCGGGAGATTAAGCGTATTTGCAACGGTGATCTTTTCAACGATCCTGTTTAAAAAAAGAAATTAATCAATGGCANAAAACCCCCCCCCCCCCCCCCCGCAACATATCCTCCATTTTAACACGTACATCTTGAGATGAAAAGTTTATTTAAAATTCTTACTTGTAATAGGTTTAGGAGCAGCTACATTCCTCGTTAAAAGGCCAACTTTTTGAACAGAGCTTCTTACAATGCGATTCATCGTGATATTCTGTCTGTCCTTACCAGTGCCCTCTGATTTCGACCGAGTACGGTGTTTCTATGGAATGCATGAAAACACCGAAGCATTCCGAAAGTCACACACGAGGATGTCCTCGATTTGTCAAAGCAAGCAACACGGCCTGAAACGGGATGTCCCACTTCTGTGGTTAGGGCGCATGTTATTCAGAAAACCGGCTAAAATGTTTGTTATAAAGATTGTTTCTTCCTAAGCAAGACATGTGCAAATCAAGTATGAATCTGTCTTTAATTGTCCTCATAACCGAGCACGTTGATGTTTGCCGCCGGGTGTCCAATCAAGTAAAGGTGATATGAGTGGATTATCTGCCTTCTCATTATTTATTTCCGCTAGGCTTCCGCCCAGTTGTGCTTCGCAGTCTAATTCGAAAGTAACTATGTAGAAGACAGGGATATTGAAGAAAGAGAAAAGAAAGTTATACCTTTTATAAAGAATGGCAGAACGAAATGTGAGTCTTATTACGTATACCACTTAATGGCATATAGAGGATATGAACGATTTTAAAAGTATTAATTATTCACTTTCTGATAGCTCACTTTCGTTATCCGTATACTTAACACGTTGTTCTCGCCATTGCCCAGGTGAATATGCATTTACCGGAAATGATTAGTTTTGTTTGCAGAGACAAAACACTTTATATTGATTGATTGATAGATTGAACCAACATACTAAGATGGCTATATTTGATATCAAAATACAAAACAAAGCCATGTTTCTACCAGATGTAGGTTAAGGTATTTCATACAGGCTCATGTCAGTGTATATCCTCAAAATGATAAAAATGTGGAAGTTGGTTGGTATACCCATGTCAGGAAAAATGTCAATAATGACCTTTGCAGAAATTATTTGTTGAAAATATTGTAAACTTTGTCTGAAAAGTAACATTTGAATGCAGAATTCTAGTGGCGCAAAATTGCAATGAATAATGGAATTAATGAAAAAACTTACCTGAACATGCATTCCTGAAGTATCAATTTAATGACTATTATCGAGAAAAATGTAAGAAAATGTGTCAAATCTCCAGAATAATAGCATATATTTCCACTGAATAAATCAAAACTAAGCATAAAGCCAACAAGGCTGCCTGAAGTTGGGGAAAAGCATGCAAAGCAAGTGCGATTTTACCTGTACACCATTAAAAACACCTTCAGGTTCTCCCTCAGGTAATCTGGCTTGACTAGTATCAATAGCCTTGTTAGCTTCATGAGTTATTGTAAAATATCCAATGAAAATACATGCCATCATTCTTGAGATTTGAAGTATTTTCTTACATTTTTCTCGATAATAGTCAATACATGGATACTGCAGAAATGCATGTACAGGTAAGTGTTTTCATGAATTATAATATTCAATGCAATTTTGCGCCACTAAAATTCTGCATTCAAAAGTTACTTTTCAGACAAAATCAAGAATATATTCGACAATTAATTTCTGCAAAGGTCATTATATTATTGACATTGTTCTTGACATGGGTATACCAACCAACTTCCATATTTTTTTCATTTTGAGGAAAAGTTATGAGCCCATCATATACTATATACACTGACAAAGGTATGTAAGAAATACCTTAAGTGTTTAATAATTAAAGAAAAGATATTTTGTGGCAGATTTTAATTGTACATAAAATAAAATTGCCTTCTTTCTTCATGCTAGAGAGAATTTCTCTTTTGCACAACGATAGAACGTCTGACTAGGGAGCCGATGACTGCGCCTGGTTCAATCCCTGGTGGAAGCACAATAATACTCTCTTTCCTGTTAGATTTAATTAAGTGGTGTCCCTGGCCCTCNGGGGGGGGGGGGGGGGGGGGGGGGGGGGGGGGGGGAGTACTGTGGCAGGTTGTAATTGTACACTACAGGATTACAGACCTAGAATTTCCCTTTGAGCTCAATTGGTAAAGGGGCAAACTGGGGAGCTGGGGGTCACAAGTGTAATACTCAAGTGGAGCACACTATTCTCTTTCCTGTTACAAATTATATTTTTAAATGTAGATATGATTGTTTGGTGAAACAGACTTTATAATGCGTTATGGTACGGACAAGTTTAACTGTTAAGTTGATGTTTACATGTAAACTGTATTTTCCTTTTTTTTTTTCTAAAGGATTCAGAAGGGGAAGCAGATAGTAACTTGAAAATGAAGAACATTTTCAGTGATAGCTATCCACGAGCCTCCAGATCCTTAAGTAATTCTGGTAGAAAGAAACACTCTTTCATAGACAACCTCTCGGGAAGGTTAACACGAGTTGGAAGTTTAGATATCCAGGAATTTTCTTCTCAAAATGAAAGCAGAGCAGTAGCATTCGATACTGTTTGTCAGCATCTTGGAACCCTTCATGATAAGCCGTTGTCACTTTGCGATTGGGAGCGTTTCAAGGTAAACACAATGCTAACTGAATTATAATGGATAATCATTCACTTTCAACATAGATAAAGGTAGTACAGTATTGTATGAGCTGGGAAGACAGACCTCAAAAGAATGCCGTAATGTTCTGACTTACAACAATCTATTAAATGTTTGATATATTAGGGCTCGTATTCATGAAACTGTTTTCATGCTCAAGCATGATTTTTTGTGCTCAATCCATCTTTCTTCTATCTTGCTTGTATCATGTTATAGTATAAAAAATTTAGTAAAAATATTTATGATTGAATTCAGCTATAAGTCTCTCCAAAAAATTCCAAATAACTGACAATTCTGTTTTGTTTTGTTAGTTTATCACCAGAACAAGAAATTTGGCTTGAGCACAGAATCTGAGTTTGAGTATGATAATGGTTTCCTGAATACGGGCCCAGGTAGTTATTATGATGATACAACAGTCAGCCATGAAAGATATACCAAATATACAAACCAGATCACGGTCTGTCAGAACCACCTTCACATGTAAATCCCAATATCTTCCAAACATATTCTAGATGTTATAATTCAGATCCAGGGTGAAAAGTAAGGCTTCTTTGACCCTCATACGAATGTTACAATATATTTGTTATATTTCAGGAGTGGTGCGATCATGATCGAGGTATCACTGAGTCAACAACCCAAACATCATCAGAAACAGTTGAAGTGTATCGAAAATGTAGAATGGTACTGGTAGATATTTTTGGGAAAATGCCAGCAGAGGACGAATGGATGGCCGGGAAGGTATATAACATGCTCTTTTGAAAGATAATTATAATAATACAAACTGAAATACATATTTCACATTACCAAATTATTCTGGATCAGAGGGTAGCCACATATTATTGACGAATTATTGTTATATTTTCATTATTCACTGTACAAATATAGTAGAATCTATTGTGGCCATCATTCCATTATTGCATTGAGTCACTGAAACTGTAAAACATGTCACCTAATTTTACATGTGCACCTTCCAATTTATTTTAGACATAAAGATACTGATCCATGTTATTTCAATCATATGTTTACAACTGACTGCTGCTTAGTGCACATTCTGATGTGTAGCTTTGTCACATATGTTTATGAATTGATTCAAATCTGCCAAAGAAATGGGGGTCACATAAACTAGACTTAACTCATTGACCCCTGGAATTTCATAATGAACTATTCCAACCTTTGAATTGGAAGAGTTCAAATTTGTTTTGAGGGGTGAATGAGTTAAGGATCCCTTTACCACTGTCAAAAACTGTAACTATAAGTATTGGAAACTGGGTTTTTTTCTCGGCATGACTATGTCTTTATTTCTGAAAAGAAAACCATACTTGCAGGACTTTTATGAGAAGCTTACATCTTGTATATAAGTAATAAAGATAAAATAAACAAATACTATCAACAATAGAGTACTGAGTGGGGGAAAAGTCACAGGGGCCAGATACAGATTTGAATATTTGACTTCAGATTGTTATTCTATTGCTTTAACAAATTAAGCTACCCGTTCAACAGAACTGTTCTGGCCTAATTGACCTACAGTACTTTATTCAAACGGAAGTTAAAGGGAGGTTACAGTATTGATGGAAAACCACAGTACAGTGGGACAGGGATCTTTAAGTGAAATAGCATATATATTGTGTCTACAAAATAACATCTGACAAATTTTACCTCAGACTACAAAATGTCTAATCAGTTTAATTTGTGTTTTCTGTTGTTCTCCTAGGATTGGTACATGGCTCGGCATCAGGGATCTTTTCGTTCGAAGAAAGTTCACGACCAGGTGACCTTTTATAACTATTGTCGGTTATCTATCAATGCAAAAATATTGTTAGAATTGATCCAGTTTATTTTAATCTTTTAGCATGTATATTTAGTTTAAATATGTCAAATACATATTGCAAACATTTCAGATATGATACACATCAATGAATTATGTGTGTTTGAGATATTTTTAAATATATGTAAAAGTATTTTCTAAACATTTTTAGGTCACCTGAGCTTTAGCTCAAGTGACCTATTGCTATCCGTTTTCGTCCGTCGTCGTCCGTCGTCCGTCGTCCGTCGTCCGTCGTCCGTCGTCCGTTAACATTTTACATTTCAAACTTAAAGTCAAGTTCTGCTGGGCCGATTGAACTGAAAGTTGGTAGGAATGATCGCCTCATGGTCCTGACAAAGTGTTGTTATTTTTCGGGTCGATCAGAAATCCAATATGGCCGCCACGGCCGCCATTTTGAAAACCTATTTCAAACTTAAAGTCAAGTTCTGCTGGACCGATTGAACTGAAAGTTGGTAGGAATGATCGCCTCATGGTCCTGACAAAGTGTTGTTATTTTTCGGGTCGATCAGAAATCCAATATGGCCGCCACGGCCGCCATTTTGAAAACCTATTTCAAACTTAAAGTCAAGTTCTGCTGGACCGATTGAACTGAAAGTTGGTAGGAATGATCGCCTCATGGTCCTGACAAAGTGTTGTTATTTTTCGGGTCGATCAGAAATCCAATATGGCCGCCACGGCCGCCATTTTGAAAACCTATTTCAAACTTAAAGTCAAGTTCTGCTGGACCGATTGAACTGAAAGTTGGTAGGAATGATCGCCTCATGGTCCTGACAAAGTGTTGTTATTTTTCGGGTCAATCAGAAATACAATTTGGCTGCCATGGCCGCTATTTTGCTACTAAGTTCTAATAGGCCGATCTCACTTAAAATTGGTCTAGGAATGATCAGCTCATGGTCCTGACAAAGTTAAGTTAACATTATACTATTTTTTACTCAAATTGGTACATATTTCAACAACAAAAATAAATACTATAGACTCAGGTGACCGTTAAGGCCCATGGGCCTCTTGTTAATTATTATTAGGTCCTTTCACCAGTGTTTTGACCCTCCCCCACCCCACCTCCCCTTCCCCTACTAACTTTTTGAAATTCTGCTTATATAAAACTACCATCCCCCTCCCACAACTGGTTCACCCTTTGTCAGTATAATGTGACTGGGTGGAATGCTGTGCTGGGTACCTTCGGTACGGTATTTAAGTGAGATAGCACTATAAAGTCGGCATCAAATCCGCGCTATCACAAGGAGGCAAGCACAACAACATACCTTGTCTCTTGCATACACACATGCAAGCACGCATACACTGCCCACATGGAGGCACGTCCTTAAATGACCTTAGCTGTTAATAGGACGTTAAACAAAATTAAACCAAACCCAACCATATCAATTTTCATTCATGGAGTAAACTCTTAGGTTGTTAATAAATATGCATGTATTCCAATGTGTATGTATGTCGTAACTATTATAGGAATTATAATACACATATAAATAAAAAATAATTGTTGGTGTAAAATAAAAGCAACACAAAACCTGTTTAACTGGTCATCATATATACATAGAACACTTTTTTTTTTTCTAAACATTTTCTTCAAGTTGGTAAGTATGGATTATGAGAAGTTCTTTTTACACAACCAATAACATTTTCTATGTGACTTTTCGATGACTAGTACGATATGTACGCTGTCACCTTCATCAGACAAATGACCAATGAAGCGTATACACACAAAGGCGTAAAATGTGTACGAGTTGTCCATAAAATCAATGTCGATTTCGGCTACGCTGGCTGCATTGATAACAACCGATACAAAATCTTTTAAAATAATCACCTATAATGTATTTCTATGGATAATTAGCTAGTTTAAGGATGTACTCTTCTGAGGTTTCAGTCACGTTCAAGTCTCTTTTTGATCTGGTGTAACAGGTTTTTGTAATATTTAACAAATTATGATAGGTATAATAGCAAACACACATCTGAAAAATATGTAAAAAAAACTAGATGTCTGTTGTGTTTAGAACATTTTTTACAGGAATTTTTAAAAAATGACCAATTTGGCAGCCATTTTGAAGAAGTGTATTTATGTGAATTTCTTGCCTTCACAAAGGGCCAAAATTTCACCTTTTTTGACACTAGATTAATCACTTAAATTGTCATTGTGTCACCATTTTTAATTGTAGCAGGTTCAATTTTGCTGTACAACTTTATAATGTTCAATATGATTAAGATAATATGCAAAAAAGTTGAAAGTTATATAGTATTGATATATTTTTTTACATATTAGGGTAACTGAAGCACTTCTGATTTTTGACTTCGAAAAAGGTGAAAAATAACACAAATAATACTGGGACAAAAAAAGAAGCACACCGACCCCCCATTTTTGTGGCTGTTTTAGAAAGAGAAACACATTTTCTTTGATTCATTGAATACTAAAAAAAGTTTAATACAGGATTTCTTTATATCAAGCATTTAATCTGCAAAAAATGGTGAAAAATGTGCATTTTTTCTTTAAAAAATAAGGGGTAGGGGTAACTAAAATTGCATTTCTGAGTAAAATGAATAAGATTAAGAAATTTTACTTTCATAGTTTCAAAGAAAATAATATTTTTATCAATTCTACAAACATTCATACATATCTGATAACACACTTGGAAGAAATTGTATGAATTTGTTATGCAAATGGTCAAAACCCGAAAATTCACCTAAAATCACATATTGTGTTATATTGGTATCTTTGACCGATCATAGCACAGAAACGAGCACATAGACATATTTTTTTTTTTTTACATTTTCTGCTATGCCATTATCTCCTTTTTCCAAAAATCAATATAAGAAAAAAAGTTTAATACAGGAATTTTTTGACTTCTCAGAGGTGTACATCCTTAAGCAGATTTTATTGCATATTTTAACAAAAGGATCAGGTGCAAGTTATCACAACTTACTTATGCCTTTTCCTGATTGAATTATAAAACGATGCATGATATAACGCAAATTGACAAATTTTATGAAAGGGAGGGTAAACGCGTATGGGACATGGAATAAGGAGGTAGAATATTTGAGTAAATAGTTTTGGTATGATCCTATACACATGTATAGATAATGATTTAACAGCAGAAGTGCAACTCTGGCCTGGCTTCTCACTTAGCACTGTTTACATACTTTCAGAAATATGCATAACTCTTAGTACTTTTTCACCAGAAAGGATGATAATCTCAAGCTGATACTTGGCCCCTTACAAACAAATATAACAATTGAAACTGTTTACTTTTCAGAGAGAAGATAAATATCACACTGGAGATATTCCTATGGATACTTCAGAACGGCAAAGGTAAGCTACATCAGGTGTGATCAACACTCAAGGTAGGCTACATCAGGTGTGATCAACAATCAAGGTAAGCTACATCAGGTGTGATCAACAATCAAGGTAGGCTACATCAGGTGTGAACAACAAAGATAGGCAACATCAAGTGTGAACAACAAAGGTAGGCTACATCAGTTGTGAACAACAAAGATAGGCAACATCAGGTGTGAACAACAATCAAGGTAGGCTACATCAGGTGTGAACAACCAAGGTAGGCTACATCAGGTGTGAACAACCAAGGTAGGCTACATCAGTTGTGAACAATCAAGGTAGGCTACATCAGGTGTGAACAACCAAGGTAGGCTACATCAGGTGTGAACAACAAAGGTGGGCTACATCAGGTGTGAACAACAAAGGTAGGCTACATCGGGTGTGAACAACCAAGGTAGGCTACATCAGGTGTGAACAACAAAGGTAGGCTTCATCAGGTGTGAACAACAAAGGTAGGCTACATCAGGTGTGAACAACAAAGGTAGGCTACATCGGGTGTGAACATCCAAGGTAGGCTACATCAGGTGTGAACAACAAAGGTAGGCTATAGAATGTGTCTAGATTTTACAGTTGGTTTTTCAAAATCCTTAGTCACTACTGATGTGTCTTTAAAACTATCTGAAGTATGAGTTTTCTTTGTCAATTTTGAAGTTGTTATATATACTCTTCAGGAAGATGTAGGGAAAAGTATCAAAATCTGGAAGCAAGTTTGGAATATTTTGTATTAGCAAGTCTAGTAGTAGGATGCTGGGCTCGTGACCGAAGGGTCACGGCACTGTTGTATCTTTGAACAAGATGCTTTATTCCTCTTGTTCCAGTCTACTCAGCTGTAAATGAGTATGTGGTTGGGCAGTGCTAGAGTTGTAGAACGGTAGCTGTGAGCACCGAAATGGCAGCACCGGCTGTATACTCCCCAGGGAATTGAGAAAAATATTGGCTGGTTGCAAAGGCCCTATCACCACTGATAATAATTTGTGAACCACTTTGAGACAACTTACGAACTAGGTTGTGATAAAGCAGTATACAAGAACCTTGAATTATTATAACTATATATTAATTTTTCCTTTGTAATGTTATTACAGACCTGCTATAGTTCGATGACTCCTCAGATGTTCATGGGTGTTATAAGCTCTTCATCCAAGTTTTAATTTCAAATAATTTACAAACTTTATCAAATCACAGAAAACTATTTTTTTCTGGCTCTGCAGAGACCAGAGTCTACCAGGACAACTACATGGCATGGCCAGGCAGACAAGGGGAGATAATTCAAAAAGTGAGACAAGGAGAGAAGTTGATCACCTTCGACAGAAGCAGGAGTATACGTGCGTGTACAGCCGAATGAATGAAAAAACACATTATCACAAGGACAAAACAGTTGAAATAAGAGTCTTACTTCCAATGAAACTAATTTTCCAAGATTTTAAGATACAATGTGTTATAGTTCATTGCTTTATAGTCTATCAGACATTATTTTATTAAATATAAAAGTTTTTCTATATAATAACCTGGATGCATAATCATATGACATAAACATTTTGTTTCTCGATACAGGTAAATTACGTAATTGGTAATTATTTCTCTTATCACTGCTATTGGTTTCATCTCTCTCTCTGCCAATGGATGGCATTTAGAGTAATTTTTACGATACAAAATATCCTCATTCGAAATGGCATCGTGATTGTCTACAGGTGTTACCGGAAGGGACTGTAGGTTTGCACTGTATCCATCAGTCATTCCATCGTGGAAAGCAATTTTGGCTGGGGAAGATATATCCTGGAAACATTGTCAACCTCAAAGGCTCAATTGCTAATTTTGGAAACCAGTGCTACTGTATACTGAGAAATTTTCACTGCAGTTTAATTTTCGCCTTTTTTCTCCGTAATTAGGGTGAATTTATCATTACAGCGAATATAAGTTAACAACATCATATGCAATGTCATTAAATGTAAAGGGTGAAATTTACACAGGATGAACATTTATTTCATGGGCGAAATGGCGGAAGTTTGACTGGGTGAAAATATATAGGTATACAGTATTGAGAGTGAACGTTGCATTCTGACATTTGGCCTTGTGTACTACTTTTGATCTCTATATATACAGAGTTATAGCCCTTTGTTCTCTGTGTCACATTGACTGAGGCATATATCATATATACTCTGTCGCCTACAATTGCGCAACTTTATATGTGAGTAAACCTCTTGGGATAGTTGAGTGCCTCAAACTTCAATTAGGTCTCGTGGGTCTATGTATATTCCGTCTTTTCGTATTGCAGAGTTATCTGTTCTTGTGAGCAGGTATTGATTGGTACGTCATTAATTTGTAAGAGTAACGTCATAAATTTTTGAGAAAGCAACGTAATTTTCTCACACAAACTAATGACGTAACAATCAATCCCTGCTCACAAGAGCAGACAACTCTGCAATACGAAAAGACGGAATAGGGTTACATGGCTTTATTCATGTTTGATACTCAACTGTGCCTGAAGAAAAGTGACTAGATGGAATCGTTTGTAAGTACTTTGACTTGTTTAGTTGTTATGTGTTATGGGAGAAAGGAAAAACATTAGTTGTTTCTAAATAACCTACCATCTCTGAAGATTGACATTTAACTCACTTATTATCTCCCCTTTTAATTTGGTATATCTGTCTTTATTTCACCTGTTACTATACATTGACAGAGAAAGTGAAGTGGACCAGTTGAAAAAGAAGATAGATAACTTACAGAAGCAGATGGAACAAGTGCAGGAAAAGAACAAAGAATTGTCAAGGTATCAAATGTAAATTGTTAGAATCACATAATTTAAATCCTCTAGTAATTTTTGGTGGAAATGTTAATTATATATTAAGTTATGATTAAATGATAGGACCATTACGGTAGTATCCCCACATGACCAGATTGTGTATTGGATATTATGTTCCATTCAAACATCATGTGCGTCACTTTTGTCATCATTTACCGATTCATCTTTTAATGGATTCTAATCAAACTTAATAATATAGCAATTTCCGAATTGCATATCGGGCATTCCATTATCGTAGTGTAAATTATAGTAACACCGGGTAAACAATAGAGTCTAGTACATGTGCGTGATGATGATATGTCAACACCCGATATCGAGACTTAACTGGGAATTGTGTAATCACACGTATTTCAGAAATTATGTTTATGATACAAAGACATAAGTTGACTCACGGGAAGACACTGACATCAGATCAGATGACTTCAGGAAGGTTGTATAAGAGGTGCATGGAATGCAGACTGATGTAGAACACTGACTTCCGTCCGTGAGATGAAACCCGTAAGGGCAGATTCATGTAGGCTCGAAACCTGTTAACCAACCAACCAACCAGACTGATGTGTTTTGTTTACCAACCTCACCTGTACATTTCACGTGCTAACAATAGTTCACAAGCTCGGGGTCGCTACAATTTTTGTTGTTGTAAGCGAGTTACGCATTAAATCATTTCACAAATGCAATAACAATAACTCTGTAAAAATAGTGTTTTGTAAAATATCAAGATCCCTATAGAATTCTACCATGCAATAGCCTATGGTTACATATGTACCTGACATGTAAATATACCAGGCGTAAACGGGCTATGGAATGATGTCCAAAGTGTACGCGATTGAGAGTAATTTTGTTCCATAAAAGAACAGTAAATTGACAATTTTAATATCTTAATTTAATTTGTCTCCATCGTTTTTGGTATAGTGAAGAAAATAACTATCATTGTACAAATTTTATCCCTCTGCAAAAAGTTCCTATTTTTTTCAAGGTAAACAACTCTCATCAGGATCAAAATTATTGTAAAATGTAAAATAAATGTGTCCTGTTTGCTTTTAGCTTGTATATAACTACTTTTATCCATACAATTTCAATAAAAACACTTTGTGTAAGGTATTTAAGATATTTTATGATAAATGAATATTTGTAGGGTTGATTAGCATTGCTTCTTTTCATTATTTTATTGTTGTAATAGTTGTGAACAATATGCCACACACTCAAAAAATGTGAAAGTGTTAAATTTGACAAAAAATCAATTTTTCAGTATTTTTTACAAAAAAATCCCCAGTTTATCGGAATGCTTAGATCGTCATAAAATCATAGTGACATAATCATTATGTGAAACTTTCATTGAGTTCTGCTGGTTAATTGCAAAAGGGTGGAGCCACCTTAATATATTTAATATTGAACAATTGTGGTACATCAAGGTATTTAAAATAAAAATCTGATATCTATGTTGTCATATCATGGATTACTTTTATATTTTACCTTTTGGATGATTTTAGACGGGGGCCATTGCCACTAATCGGGATGACAAATGAAGGAGCTAGAGAACAGATGGATGAGGAGAGAAGTAGTAATGATAACAGAAGGTATGTAGACATATACTCTTTGTATCTATTGTCTCAGTATCTCTAGTCTCAATATTAAGATTCATTAAGAAGCCATGGGGAATAAATAGTCATTGTACATTATAGACATAGTGAATCACATTTAGGGTTAAAAGATTAACATTTTGTCTTCAGATTTTTTTTAATAATTAGCCCACCATTATGATCATCAGAGGGTGGAATGTTCAAATCTTCAACAGATAACTTCAAACCTCATGGGAAAGTTAGTTATCATGAAAACTCGAACGGATTGATAACTACCTTTGTCCATAATCAAGAACATCTTTCCTGTAAGCTTCTCAATAATCAAGAACATCTTTCCTGTAAGCTCCTCAAAAATCAAGAACATGTTTACTGTAAGCTCCTCAATAATCAAGAACATCTTTCCTGTAAGCACCTCAATAATCAAGAACATCTTTCCTGTAAGTGCCTCAATAATCAAGAACATGTTTACTGTAAGCTCCTCAATAATCAAGAACATCTTTACTGTAAGCTCCTCAATAATCAAGAACATGTTTATTGTAAGCTCCTCAATAATCAAGAACATGTTTACTGTGAGCTCTCAAAAAATCAAGAACATGTTTACTGTGAGCTCCTCAATAATCAAGAACATCTTTCCTGTAAGCTCCTCAATAATCAAGAACATCTTTTCTGTAAGCGCCTCAATAATCAAGAACATCTTTCCTGTAAGCTCCTCAATAATCAAGAACATCTTTCCTGTAAGCGCCTCAATAATCAAGAACATTTTTACTGTGAGCTCTCAAAAAATCAAGAACATGTTTACTGTAAGCTCCTCAATAATCAAGAACATCTTTCCTGTAAGCGCCTCAATAATCAAGAACATCTTTCCTGTAAGGGCCTCAATAATCAAGAACATGTTTACTGTGAGCTCTCAAAAAATTAAGAATATCTTCACTGTAGGTCTCAAATAATCAAGAACATCTTCACTGTAGGTCTCAACTAATCAAGAACATTTTTACTGTGAGCTCTCAAACTGTAAAAATAAAATTTTGAAAATCTGCCTATCAGAATGAGGGTTAAAACAATGCATGATACAGTAATTGTTGTTCCTATTTTAACAAAGGGAGCAAAAAAAAGAAGAGTTACAAATGAAATGTGACCAACTTACTCGTGAGATAACATACAGAGATGAGGAAATAAACAAAATGAAATCATCTAACGGGAAGCTATCAGACAGGTAAGTGTGGAGATAAATAGTGTCTTGTTTACTGAATGAAGGCCCGACTGCCCAGTCTCAACACTCAATATAGTTTCTGCCAATATTTTTTTTTTTTTCAAAACTTGAATACATATGTGAATAATATAAGTGTCCTTTATATGTAAGCAGGCTTTTAAGGTAATGGACACCCAGATTATCAAGGGGCATATAAATACATTAAAATTTCATGTCATGAAACTATGGACAGTCCATCATTCTGTCCCGTGCTCATTACCCTTGAAATTTTGATTGCCTTTCACATCTCCAACATTGGGAGATCTAAGGGACTATGTCCTTCTTAATTTCATCAATTTGCTCTAGAATGTACCGCCCCTTTTTGATAACCTACCAATGTCAGCTGTGATTTATGGGACCCCATAACCAAATTAACTGAAAAGAAATTCTCCCTAGCTGAGTCGGAATAAAGGGATTTGTATTTAACGCAGTTGACCCTCCGTTAGGATAAGGAAACTGACCCCAGTGTTTTCAGAAGCAACAGAAATCCTTGTAAAAGAAAGGCAGGCAAAGTATTTTTGTCAATATTTCCAAGAGCCCTATGTTGGGCACCCATGTCTGTCACATGAGTACATGGTCAGTGTAAGGGTTTTCAGTCTCCCCATTGTAAATGATCAAGAACCACAATCATGTGAAGACAACTTCTGACATACAAGGAGAGGGCAACCTGACATAAGAGAAAACAACATCTGACCGTATATACAGAGTGCATGTATTATAATTTGTTCCCCTTTTTCTACGCCCGTCGAAGACGGGGACGTATTATGTTATCACGTGAGCATGCGGGCGAGCGGGCGGGTGGATGGGCGGGAGGGCATACAAACAATGTCCGCTCGATATCTCAAGTAATTATTAACAGATTAACTTCAAACTTCACAACAAGGTTAATTACCATGAAAGCTCGGACAAGTTCGATATCCGCCATTATCCGACCATAATTTGTGGAGTTATGCCCCTTTATGGACTTGCCGAAACAGTGTCCTCTCGATATCTCGATTAATTATTAACGGATTAATTTCAAACTTCATAACAAGGTTAATTACCATGAAACCTCGGACAAGTTCGATAACTGCCTATATCCGACCATTATTTGTGGAGTTATACCCCTTTATGAACTTGCCGAAACAGTGTCCGCTCGATATCTTGAGTAATTATTAACGGATTAACTTCAAACTTCACAACAAGGTTAATTACCATGAAACCTCGGACAAGTTCGATAACCGCCATTATCCGACCGTAATTATTGGAGTTATTCCCCTTGGTTTCATTAATGCGATGCATGCGTTCCATGATGTTGTATTGCACTCATTGATCTACCAGTTATGTTGAATGATTTCTCTTTTAATATCAATTACTCACAAATACTTCATATATTTCAATCATACAAACAACTGTTCATTCAATGTGTGGTGGGCGTATTATATACCGCTCGCGGTAACCTTGTTGTAATTATATACCTTAAAATATTAATTTAAGAGACATTTATAATTTAAATATTATTTAGTATTATATGTTATTTAGAAATAACATATATGCTTTTAGTCAGAGAAAGCCAGGATTTGTTTGATACATTTGTAAATGTTATCTTAACACCCAAAACCATTTTACGCCGCGACGCCGTCAAAAGTCTCAAACTTAAGAAAACCCAGTGGAGGGATATCTTGACAAGAGGTTGACAACCCTTATTATTTAAGCCTCGTAGCATAACTTGCACTAATTTATATTTTATTAAAACAATTCCCTATTACACTAAAAGCATATATGTTATTTCTAAATGCATTAAATACTTGTTTATCCACAAAGTTTATCTATTTATTCAAAACACTTAAATGTTTTTACCTCTATGGCCATAAATCTCACATGCACTCTAAACAAATGTGTTTTATCGTTACATTGCTAATGTGCAGACAAGATTTGAGATACATGTGGAGTGCTCTGTTGAGACTCCCACAAGTATATAGGGTCGTGCAGAGCCAAATTGTCTCTTTCAGAAACAACCTGATAATAAAGAGGTACACACCCTAATTGGCTGATATTTTTTCATACACATCCAGATTTACCCATTACAAGTTCAAATTATAATGACCTTAACCATCTTTCAATGTCACAGGGGTCAAATTTGTAAAACAAATTCACACAACTTCTTCTGAATAACCAAAAAGCCAAGGGTGATACTATTTGGCTAAGTGTACTTTGGGATGAAATGCTGCCAAGTTTTTCAAATGAATGACCATAACCCAATTTCACGGTCACAGGGGTCATATGTGTTATAACCAAAAGGCCCAGGGTGACGATATTTGGCCAGTAACACGCTGGGGATGAAGGGCTACCAACAAGCACATGTATTGTTCATCTATAATTGGCATGAAACATTAATGAGACTAACTAGTTTGACTGTCGTGGCATTTGCAAATATATACCGGTATATCGGGTAATAGAATAGTGATGTCACATAACTGTGTAGTTTCCCACTAGTGTTCCCCACAGGCATATATTGTATTTAAGATCATAGACTGTAAGAATTAGTGTTTTGAAGTGAAAATCTTACCTTTATAAGCAGATTTGACTTCAAAATATAATTACAATTTCAAAATTATCATAATCACTTGCTCCATCAAACTGATTCGAACGAGTGGATTTGCTGTATTATTAGCTCACCTGGTCCGAAGGACCAAGGTGAGCTTATGCCATACCGTGGCGTCCGTCGTCCGTCCGTCGTCCGTCGTCTGTACGTCAACAATTGCTTTAAACGACATCTTCTTCTTAACCACTGATTGGAATTTAACTAAATTTGACTGGAAGCATCCCTTAAAGCGACTTCTCCTCTGGAACTAAGTGATGGATATCAATCGTATTTGACTGGCAGCATCTCTAGGCTGTGGGGATTCAAAATTGTACAAATAGTTGGGCTGAACCCCCAGGGGGCTGAGGGGTGGGGCCAAAAGGGGGCAATTAGGCTATATTGCTTTAAGCGACTTCTCTGGAACTAAGTGATGGATATCAACCATATTTGACTGGCAGCATCCTTAGGTGGTGGTGATTCAAAATTGTACAAATCGTGGGGCTGACCCCCCAGGATGCTGAGGGGCGGGGCCAAAAGTGGGCAATTTGGCTTTATTGCTTTTAACAACTTCTTGTCTGGAACTAAGAGACGGATATCAACCATATTTGACTGGAAGCATCCCTATGTGGTGGGGATTCAAAATTGTACAAAAGTTGGGCTGAACCCCCAGGGGGGTGAGGGGCGAGGCCAAAAGGGGGCAATTAGGCTATATTGCTATAAACGACTTCTTCTGTAGAACTATGGCATGGATATCGATCATATTTGGTTGGAAGCATTTATGGGAGGCAGGGATTCAAAATTGTACAAATGGTAGGGCTGACCCCCCGGGCTAAGGGGTGGGGCCAAAAAAAGTGTTTTACTTGGAAATGGTTGAGATCCCCACCATATAAATATATATACAATTGCTGAGTATAAATAGAAGAATGCACATTTGCTTCCAGGATGGCCCTAGGGTCTGGCCCCACCCTTGGAGACATAGTCCCTGGGCCATAACTTTAAAACGGTTGAGATCCCTGCCCCAAAACTACATATACAAATGCTGGGCTTAAAGAGGCGAATGCAGTCATGATATTAGAATAGACCCTGGGGTCTGACCGAACCCCTAGGGACCTAATTTCTTAGTCACAGCTTGGAAACAGTGGAGATCCCCACCCTATAACCATATATACAATTGCTGAGTATAAAGAGATGCATGCACAATTGCTTCCAGGATGGCCTTGGGGACTGGCCCACCCTTGGGAACCTAACCCCTGGGTCATAACTTTGAAATGGTTAAGATCCCCACCCAAAAACTACATAAACAGTTGTTGGGCATAAAGAGACGAATGCAGTCATGATATTAGAATTGACCCCAGGGTCTGCTCCAACCTTGCAGACTTAACCCCTGGGTCATAACTTGAAAACGGTTGAGATCCCAACCCCAGAACTATATATACAAATGCTGGGCAAAAAGAGACAAATGTAGTCATGATATTAGAATTGATCCTGGGGTCTGGCCACAACCCTAGAGATCCCCACCCTATAACCATACATAAAATTGCTGGGCATGAAAAATCTAATACAGACATACTACAAGGATTGGTCTTGGGTCTGGCATATTCCCTTGGATCTCATTTAGAGAATATTTTGCCATGATTGCCTAGATATCCAGGTGAGCGATACAGGCCCTCTGGGCCTCTTGTTTCATTCTGTTTTCAGGGTCTTAAATCTCTTTTGGAAACAATAACTTCCTCTACAATTTTAAATGATCTGAAAGCTGTTAATTGGTCTTTTTCCAAAAATATGAGTCATCATAGCCACTTTTCTTTTACCTTTCGATTATTTGACGTCATTATTATTTTGCATTTGTTTTTGTCGAACATTTGTTGGCCCTAACGACCTCTCCTACGTTGAGCCTAAAGTATGAAATAATAATAATTATAATTATGTTTTACAGGGTAAATGTACTAGAAAAAGAATGTGGACAAATGTATCTGGATATGAAAAACCAGGATCACCAAATCGAGAGAGAAAAATCAAACAACAAAATTCTTCAACAAAGGTATAGATTAGTCTGGAAGCTTCCTCGATATCCAGGAGTTACGCTCACTTTTGCTCTCTGTACCCCTGGAATATGTGATAGCAAAACTGAAGCATGCGGCTAGCTATTTGATTGGTCTCGGGTACAAAAACCTGACCAATTGCTAGGCTGAGACCTGTCCTTAAAAGATTTATAGAAGAGTGACACCTGACTTCAAAGCCAGTCAATTTTACCGTTATGAGACCCACAGATTCTTATGATGTACATCAAAGGATCGAACTAGTCTTCTTGTCTCATCCGAAAGGTTTTGGAAACTGAGCCTTCAATTTTGCTATGACATATTCCAGGGGTGCAGGGAGTGAAAGTGAACGTAACCCCTGGGGTAGTGAGGATGGTCTGCAGGAGGAAAGATACTTTAGGAAATGTATCAAATCGAGTATTTTAAGAGAAATTATGATGGCCCAAAACTAACACCTTTAGAAAAAAATTGTGAGACTGCAAGGAACCTTCATGAAACGTACGAGTAATATAAGCTGCAAAGGAAATTGACATAATGGTAATTGGCTACAAGGTAATCATTACATAATGAAAAACATATTACTGGGGGTAGGCTACATGAAACAAGGCAACTCCAGAATGTATGCTATAGGCTATGTGCAAAATGGGTCAGGTGCCTTCAGGAATAATTCATGAAAGTTTGACTGTATTTACATCCATTGTTTCAGGATGGAAGAGACGAATGACCAATTCAACTACAATATGAACTGTGTCAAACATAAACTCGCATCAAAAGACAATGAGATCCAACGCCTGGAGGAGGAAAAGGCAGACGCCTTAAGAAGGTAAGATATGCTATTTTGATATGTCATAGTTCTGAATAGCGCTATAAAAATATGAAAACTCTGGTCCCGAGCATCGCCATCCGCCAGTGGCTTCACTCGAAAGAAACTCAAATGTGTACCAGTATGTACCTTTGTAGGAGTAAACTTTTATCAATTAATCACATTATGTGTACACATAAATATGTTGTGGCCACTTATATTTAAGTGTTGTTTTTACATGGACTGCCTAGCTGTCCAGTGGTAATCTGATTTGAGTTCAATTAAGCTTGCATAACAGCGTTGGGTTATAAGTATTTTCAACATGTTGTGATAAGGTCCGTAAAAGTGGTTAACATTTTCGATAATTTCACTCGTGTTTAGAATTCGCGAATATTAGTCAAAGCGCGAATATGGAGAAATAAAAAAAAACGCAAAGTATAACTGCTATACAGTACATAAAAAAAGTACTGTCTTGTGGTATTTATAAAAAATTACGCTGACCAAATCAATTTGAGACACCATTATCAGGCCGAGGTTAACATATGTAAATGGTCATGCTATATATTGACCAATCAAAGATTCTCTTTCAGAAAGCTTTTGGTGGTATAGCAGACATGGATAAAATGGTTGAGGAGGTTTAGGAGATATTTCCAATCGATTGTTTGAAAGCTGATCAGAGAAATTATCATCCAGTCCCTTCTGCTTTAATCTCATTTCCAACAATAGAAAATTCCTGCAATTCTCATTTATTGCCCAAAGGATGTTTTTATTTGCTTCAAAACAGTCATTAAATAAGGCAAACACTATTATTGTTTATTAAAAGTCTTAAAATATTTGCTAAGGATATTTGCTAGCAGCATTTTCAGAAGTTCAGGTATAGTACATAGTAAATGAAGCTATATGTAAATGATAATTTAAGCAGGTTGCCCGATTGTTTCTTATAGATACGCGAAACAGATTGGTTCGGAGATATCAAACAAAGTACATTAGCAACATTACGATTTATGCAAGTACATATATATATACCCAGTATATCCTGACAAAAATATTGGCTCTCATGCAGAAGACTATTCACCTCAATTCTTCATTAGGTTTTCACAGCAACATAACAATGGTATTTCTATCTAAGAATACTACTATCTTGTCATCTTCGGTGTTGCTTACCAAACACACATTAATGTTTCACATTTGAAAACAATTTTCCATCAATGGTTATGATGGATGTGACCAACGATTTGACCTGCAGTTATGGTTATTACTGCTGGTAAAACTTCCACAATTTTAACTGTTAGAGTTATAAGTCCCCCACCAGTTGTCGGGGGCGGGGGGAGGGGGGGGGAGGTATAGGATTAGGATTGTCTCTATATTTGTCCGTCCATCCATCTTTCTGTCTGTAGAGTTTGTTGGGGCATATCTTATGGTACTGTACTATTTTGCCTTGAGTAGCCAGATTTAGCGTGCATGTACATCTTGGAATGGCAAATTTTCAAGTACAAAAAGTAGGTCACTGTGACCTGTTGTTTGACCTTCGACCACAACCTTTGAACAAAATATCCAGGGCATATCATCTATACTGTTTCATCTAGAGTAACCACATTTTGTATGCAAATACATTTTTGGGATGACAGAGTGTCAAGTAAAAAAAGTAAGTCACTGCATGTGACTTATTCTTTGACCTTTGACATTATCCTTTGAATAAGTAATATGCTATTTATACTTTTGACTGTAAAATATTGAGAAGTGAAAATGTTTGCAATCAGACACTTAAAGCTTTTTTTCACAAAATGCACTTTCAAATGAAATATATTCACTGTTTTCTTCCTGTGATATAATTTATATTCAGTGGTGATAATGGCCAAATAAAAGTTAAATATCTGTTTTAACAATGTAACTGTTTAGTTGATTGTTAAGTACATAAAAGAATCCTCCATGGTACATGTAGTTGATCTGTATAAAAAGAAATTAACAATAGAGAAATATTATCACAAAAAGAAGCCATTCATATGTCTAAAGACTCTTTTGAAAAAATGATCAATCTATAGAACTAAAAATCAATTACTCTTTCCAGAAATCTTCGATTATGTGTTTACTTTAATTATTTAGGCTGAGCACTTTGGCAAGTGCCAAGTTGTCCGACAACAATCCCGACATCACTGATTTAAGTGACATGAACCGACCTCAGAAGATTGCGGAGAAGTATTCCGAACTTTACGACAATGAGTGGACCGACGCATACGAGTATCTCACCGCCAACGGACAGGATCACCAGAAAACTGTTGCCGACTTACTCAATGTGTTAAAGGTAGTCATGGGGCTACTCACTATATTAGAGAGAGATTTAGGGTTATTCTACTCCATATGTTAGAGATAGTCATAGGGCTGCTCACTATATTAGAGAGAGATTTAGGGTTATTCTACTCCATATGTTAGAGATAGTCATAGGGCTGCTCACTATATTAGAGAGAGATTTAGGGTTATTCTACTCCATATGTTAGAGATAGTCATAGGGCTGCTCACTATATTAGAGAGAGATTTAGGGTTATTCTACTCCATATGTTAGAGATAGTCATAGGGCTGCTCACTATATTAGAGAGAGATTTAGGGTTATTCTACTCCATATGTTAGAGATAGTCATAGGGCTGCTCACTATATTAGAGAGAGATTTAGGGTTATTCTACTCCATATGTTAGAGATAGTCATAGGGCTGCTCACTATATTAGAGAGAGATTTAGGGTTATTCTACTCCATATGTTAGAGATAGTCATAGGGCTGCTCACTATATTAGAGAGAGATTTAGGGTTATTCTACTCCATATGTTAGAGATAGTCATAGGGCTGCTCACTATATTAGAGAGAGATTTAGGGTTATTCTACTCCATATGTTAGAGATAGTCATAGGGCTGCTCACTATATTAGAGAGAGATTTAGGGTTATTCTACTCCATATGTTAGAGATAGTCATAGGGCTGCTCACTATATTAGAGAGAGATTTAGGGTTATTCTACTCCATATGTTAGAGATAGTCATAGGGCTGCTCACTATATTAGAGAGAGATTTAGGGTTATTCTACTCCATATGTTAGAGATAGTCATAGGGCTGCTCACTATATTAGAGAGAGATTTAGGGTTATTCTACTCCATATGTTAGAGATAGTCATAGGGCTGCTCACTATATTAGAGAGAGATTTAGGGTTATTCTACTCCATATGTTAGAGATAGTCATAGGGCTGCTCACTATATTAGAGAGAGATTTAGGGTTATTCTACTCCATATGTTAGAGATAGTCATAGGGCTGCTCACTATATTAGAGAGAGATTTAGGGTTATTCTACTCCATATGTTAGAGATAGTCATAGGGCTGCTCACTATATTAGAGAGAGATTTAGGGTTATTCTACTCCATATGTTAGAGATAGTCATAGGGCTACTCACTATATTAGAGAGAGATTTAGGGTTATTCTACTCCATGTGTTATAGGTTGTCATGGGGCTGACCTTATCAATATCTTAGAGAGAGAGCTAGGGTTATTCTACTCCATATGTTAGAGATAGTCATAGGGCTGCTCACTATATTAGAGGGAGAGCTAGGGTTATTCTACTCCATGTGTTAGAGATAGTCATGGGGCTACTCACTATATTAGAGAGAGATTTAGGGTTATTCTACTCCATATGTTAGAGATAGTCATAGGGCAGTTCAATATATTAGAGAGAGAGAGAGCTAGGGTTATTCTACCCCCTATGTTAGAGATAGTCATAGGGCTGCTCACTATATTAGAGAGAGATTTAGGGTTATTCTACTCCATATGTTAGAGATAGTCATAGGGCAGTTCAATATATTAGAGAGAGTTCTACGGTTATTCTACCCCCTATGTTAGAGATAGTCATAGGGCTGCTCACTATATTAGAGAGAGATTTAGGGATATTCTACTCCATATGTTAGCGGTAGTCATTGGCCTCCTTAATATATTAGAGAGAGAGCTAGGGTTATTCTACCCCCTATGTTAGAGGTAGTCATGGGGCTACTCACTATATTAGAGAGATCTGTTTTATATGTAACAGGAGAAAGAGAAATGCAACAGCCAGACCAGGATTCAAACTCAATTGGGCTTCCTGGTTTCCTGGCGACCAATCCAGTCAGGTTCAGATACAAATAGATCATATTTAAGTGATTAGATGATATAATTTTGGATCAATACATCACCAAAGCTCATTATATTTCCAATGAATTATCACAATGATACATAATACTGAATGTCTGGTCAACTTATCTGTGGTTGAATCCAAACTTTTTTGGATATAAAAATCATCTTCAGTTGATATAAATTATATACTCTGTGTATAGCATGTACATGTACCATGTTTATCCAGTTACAATTCAATTTTCCCTAAACAAAAGTTCATTTTCTACTTTCAGGGCTGTTTCCAGTACTGTAAGACTGTGGGCAGACGACAGTATGAGCACCTTTTAGTTATGGCTTGTTCCCCATCGTTTGAACAAAAGGTAAGGTCATCCAATTTTACATGTATTCCATAGCTGTACATGTGAAAATATCTCATAAAATGGTTATATCTATTGATGCCAATTCCAAATGTTAATAAAAAAGATTTGAGTGTCAGCATAGTCAGAAAAAGTCTGCTTGTCTGATCGCCGGACTCTGGCTGGTACATAAGTTTTACCATGATTACACTTGTCAGTTCTTTGAAATTTAGATATTTGTATGACTGGACGAGTACAATCTAAGCAGAAATTAAAGCCATGGTCTGTTCTGGTTACTGATCATTTGTCAACACTAGGACCGTGTTAGTTTATCGTGATCCATACGGTTGAACCAGTTGGACAAAAGTTGTTCGCTTATGAAATAAGGTCGAACCTAGTAATCCGATACTGCTTTCAGGCAAGGGCTTGCGAGGCCTGCATAAACATTTGCAGGCCCGCTAGGTTTTATACTCGAATTGTTATGTTTAAAAACAGTCAAAATGGTTAAACCAGATACATGAAAGGGGCCTAGATGTACTATTTTGTGATGCAAAGTCCATTGAACCCTCAGGTGACAATGTATATGTTGAAATCCATCTTGTGGTGCAACTCTTAGTATATATATAATGCACCATCCAAATGAAGAAAAAGATATTGTTTTGCATGATCTGTGAAAGGATCTTGGAAATGGTTGAAATCCCACAATATAACTGTAATGCAACTCCTGTGAGTGAAGAGACAGATACTTATCAATCTAATCAAAATTAGATTTTCCCATCCCTCCCCTTTACTGATATGTGGTGTGAAGGCAACATGTTAGCAAACAGCTAGGAGAGATGCGAAGATTTGATTTCAATTAGATGGAATACAGATTATCCTAATGGGATTGCCGTCTGTGTCAATCTCCATCCTTAGTTCCTTTGTAATAATATGGAAAGTTTGAACTATTACATGTGAAGAGAGAAATTCATATATGCCACCTGCATTGACTCCTTGGTCCAGACCCACCTTTAGGGACTTCATTTCTTCTTATCTTTGAAATAGTGGCGATCCCAATCCCCTAACTATTAATGCAATGGCTTGGCTAGAAGATGTGAACATAAGAATACTTTAAACATCAGCCCCGCCCTTGGGGACTTGGTCCCTAGTTCAGAACATCGACACAGTTGATATCTCAACCCTGTTACTATATAATCATACAACTATAGAGCATGGAGATTTGCATATCTTGACATTTGTAGCTATAATTGACCAACACAGGAATTAAGTACAACTGAAGAAAGTAATAATAAAACCTATCATCTATTTGATAAGGATCAAGGCTTGGGAGCTGTCGGTAATGCACAGGCTGTACAGACTTATGGACAAACCATCACCCAGAAAGTGATTGAGTTGAGGAAAGTGGCATTCCAGCACTCACTTAATACCATTAAACAGGTAAGTGCTTAAAAAATCAAAACAAATCCTCTGACTGTCTAAACCTAACACCACCATGTCACACAGGTTTTCTTCAGGTACTCCTGTTTCCGCCCACATTAAGACCCCAGACACTTGGCTAACTTCTGGGCCACAAGAGTTGAAATAACTTAAAATATATAAAGTTTGTATTATATAACCCTTGCTGCAAAGGGAATGTGCCCAATAGAGGAACACTAGGGTAACTCTTAAGGACTCTCATTTAGACTAAATATTGTCTGTTCGTAGTTGGTATTTATTTTGCTCCTTTTAATACATACATCAGATGTACCACACTCAACATATAAACGTAGAGATATTAATGACTGAGCCTGTTACATATATTAGGTTTGTTTATACATACTTATATATAGAATAACACTAGTTCATAAGAAGTCGATTCTACATTGAATCTAAGTTTCCATATCATGCATATATTTTGCCTGAAAATAGCGAACCTTGACCGATAGTGGCCAGTAATCTCTAAGTTTAATTCATGACATCAGAATCACCAGAACCAAATCAAGATTGATAGAATGACATGATAAAATCATATACTTATTACACTGGTAAACATGTAGTTTTATCTAACCAGGCGTACCAGACTGACAGGGGGAGAGATATAGACCAGTCGACGTCCCAGGAGATATCTATATACATGGATAAGTGTCTGGATGTATCCTGGCTGGCCTGTATTCAGGATCCACCCTTGGAAATCGTTTCAGACTTTCCGCCCTACTCAAGAGTTGATTTGAACATCGTTCGAAAGTACACTAAGAGTGGAGAGTTTGTAGAATACGTCATCTGGCCAGCTCTGTTGCTTAGCAATAATGGTGGACTGTTGTCCAAGGGAGTAGTTCAGTGTACGTCTCGGCCCCATGATGTTGGCGCACAGCAGATGCGAAGGCCCAGCGACTCAAACCAAGAGAGTGATTTTTAGACTGTGCGAGTGAATGTAATCATTACATGATAATTGCATGAATGAATGTAATCATTAGAGGAAGACTGTCAGAGTGATTGGGATTTTTATGTGCTGATAGAATGAATGCAATCATTACAGGGGGACTCGAGGTAAGGGCAAGCTTGGTTGGACGCAATACTCAGTAAGGAAAATGTATCTCTTGACATATCAGTAATAGTGGTAACGTATTCAAACATCAATGACCCATCAAACCATAGGTCATCTCCCATTGGCCAGGTCAACTTTGAAAATAAACATTGAAAATATCAAACAATGCATTACGAAAATTACAGGTAAAATAAAAGGAGCAGAAAGATCGGGACTCGAACCTGTGACCCTCTAAACTCTAGACATATGCTGTACTAGTGGAGCTACCTGGTCGCCGAAGATCAACCCTGTCCAGTTCCGCTACATTCCTTCCTTCTTTTTTCTCAGTCTTTGCCTACGAAGACATTAACTTTTACAACCCAGGTTCTGATATTCCCTTGCCAAGCATTCACCAAGCATTCACCAAGCATTTGAAACAGGGGTTTGTCTCTGGCACCAAATGTTATTAGAAAGCATGGCCAGACCACCCGGATTTGAACGCAGGACCCTCTGAACTCTAGACGGATGCTCTAACAATTGATCTACCAGCTGGTTGCTGATGATCGACCCAGTCCAGTTCTGCTACACAGATATGTGCAGTACTATGGAAAATAACAAAATATGTAAAACAAACTGAGATGTAGATCGTAAATGATGTCATTCTAGCACTACATTTCAACTATTTAATTACATTAATTATTTTTGTGATTTTATTGTAAAATTTGAGTACATAATTATTTCGCAGTTAATATTTAGATTTTATAATTCTTTTACCAGAACGTTATACCATAGTGTGATAGTTTAGTGAGATATTAAATATGTTGTTCAAAGAAGCCTATAGTTACATCTAAACACCTGCAACAGTGCAGTGTTTTGTGAAACAATGATATAAAGGTAATTGTACCTGGTATTTTGCTTGACACTGAGAGGTGAGTATGTGAAGGTATCATCAACGGGAGGTATATATGGCTGATCACAGCTTCTGACATAAAGGATCTTACATGAGTTTCCATTTCATATGAGATTTATGCAATGAGTCTTAAGAATTTTTCAATTTAGCCAGTCTATGGCGAGCTAAAATGAAAAAAAATGTGATGGGTTTCATAAATTTCATATGAAATGAAAACGAGTGTAAGATCCTTTTTATCACATAATCAAGATTTGTGGCATTTAATCGTGTAAAATGATAATTTTTATACAACCTTGAAATGTAAAATGCCTCCATTTTGACTCCAGTGCATAAGTCTGTGATGTCATAAGTTAATGCGCAACAAAATATGACATGGGTATATTCACTGGATAACACAGTACATAATGTGATAAAATGTGATCTTACTCTAGGGCTAGCTGCATTAGCAATAACATAACAGCATAAACATACAGTTGAGAAATTGAAAGGCACAGCAGTCGTATTTAATGATGTCATCCTTCTCCTAATATTCCTCGATACTCCACTCACCAGGGGTTACGCTCACTGTTCCTCTCAAAACCCCTGATATATGTCATAGCAAAATTGAAAGCACAAAGATAGCTGTTTGATTGGTCTCGGGTAAAAAAAAACCTGACCAATCACTAGGCTGATACATGTCATTCGAAGATTACAGAGAAGAGACACCCGACTTCAAAGCCAGTCCATTTTTACTGCTACCCGATCGACAGATTCTTTTGATGTACATCAAAGGATCGAACTAGTCTTCTTGTCTCATCAACAAGGTGGCACACATCGAGCCTTCCATTTTTGTTACCACAAATTCTAGAGGTGCAGAGAGCCAAAGTGGAGAGTGTATATCTATATATATATATATACATATAAAATATGTATTGATGTAGGAATTTTTAATTTCGGGCAATGTAAATATGAAGCCGCCAATTTGGGGAAATGTCCACAAAAATAACCTGCCAAAGAGTATATTTATATATGATAAGAAATGATCTTTAGACAGGTGGAAAATGACAGATGTAATTTTAAATAGCTTTATGTGGTCGTTAAATTTTTACTTGTAAATACAAGATAAATGTACTTTCCTTTTAATGAGCATGCATAATCATTATTTTACATTATCCGGTTTTAATTTATTGCTTTGCATTTTGTCGTTTGTTTTTTTGGTCATTTTTGTCGAGTGTGTTTCTGTAAGAAGGGAAGTGCTTTTTCATACATTACTATGTTTTTATATAAAGACAAATGTTGTACATGTATTTTAAAATGGCTCTAAAATATTTTTCAATTTATAATCATGCAACTACGAAGGTGTAGCAAGAAGGAGTGAGTATATTGGATTCAGGTTGTCTGCCTGTCTGTAGATAGAATGTTATCATTAATTCTCACGAAGTACTACCCCACTTCTAATGAAACCTATCTTGATTTTACACATACACATTATCAGGATGTATAATTACCTTGTTGCGTCCATTGATAAAAAAAGAATTATGACCCTTGTTTTACTTATAACGTCTTATCCAGGGGCCTGTTCGTTTATGCGAAACATCTGGTACGCTCAGGTTTTTGTGTCGCCTGCGAAAAGCTGGTGACACAAAGGTATTGCTTTGTCGGCGGCGTCGGCGTCCGCACAGAGGTTTTCGTGCGATAAGGTCACTGTTACTATAAATAGAAAATCTGTTTTCGTGCGATAACTTGAGTTTCCTTTGGCCGATCAAACTCAATCTTCATGCAGTGCTTTTTACCAAAAGAGCTTGCTTGGGATTGCTTTTCAGGTCCGAAGGTCAAAGGTCAAGGTCACTGTACTATAAATAGAATATCTGTTTTCGTGCGATAACTTTGAGTTTACTTGGGCCAATCAAACTCAAACTTCATGCAGTGCTTCCTTACCAAAAGTGCTTGCTTGGGATTGCTTTTCAGGTCCGAATGTTATAGGTCAAGGTCACTGTTACTATAAATAGAAAATCTGTTTTTGTGGATAACTTGAGTTTCCTTGGGCCGATCAAACTCAAACTTCATGCAGTGCTAAGCAAGTCCTGCGCAGGCGACACATCCACTTCCGTGGAATTCTTATTTTTTAAATGCATTTTTTTTGTATAAATCCTAGCGGACCTGCAAATGGTGATGCAGGCCTTGCAAGGCTTCGTCAAGGCTCGCCTGAAAGTAGCATCAGATTAATCGGTCCGACCTTATTTCATAAATGGACAACTCTGGTCCAACCGGTTAATCTGTTTTGACCGTGATAAACGAAAACGGCCAGTATTCTACTACTAAATTATACGTTGGATTTCAACATATCCTGCATGTGTAGATGCCATGTAGTTTCATACCTCTTGTGAAGATACCTATGAACCACACCCAATATTATGTTGTTACTGTCCTTTTATTTAACTGCGATCATAATCAACGTCAAACAAATGCAAACAACTTCAAAAATTAATAATAAAGGCTAAGTTTGTTTTGAACACAAACAGAAATTGAAAAGTTATTTGTCTGTTTCCTTGTCACGCAGAGAGCGTTAATGACCAGTGTCACGACTCTGAACCGCTTAACCCTTTCACCATTGTAGACCAGAATGGACTCATCCAGATACATGTTTGGTAGAGTCTACTAAAGTTACCTAGGGGTGAAAGGGTTAAAATATATCATTAGGGCCTAGTGTGCTGAATCAGTAAATTGAGTTGTTAATTTCGCCCCGTTGCACTCTAATACTGCAGAAAGTCAGGGGGATGGGTAACATGTTTCCCCATTCCGCCCCTTAATGGATGTTTAGAACACAAACAGAAATTGAAAACTTATGTTGCGAGCTTTCGAAAATATTTGTTTCCTTTGTGGTGCAATGAGTGTAAATGACCGGTATCTTGAATATTACAGGCTGAAACAATTAACAAAGACACAGTGTGCCGAATCAGTAAAGTAAGTTGTCAAAATTATTACCATTGAATCATTGGACTGTTATACAAGTACTTTCTGTGTCTTTATTTCAACTGTATATTGTGGTATAGATATTCATTTTAATTGTATATAATTGCATACCACATTATCACATCTTTTCAAAGCATAGTGATGGGTGTAGCCTGATACATGTGTATATATACATGATTGTTTATATTAAATTGAATTCAAGATTTATTTAGTTTGATATCAGTCGCAGTGAAAATCCTGGAATTTATGAGCAGTTGGCCATTTTCAGCAATTTTCAGTCAATATCAAAATTAAGAGGGGCCATTCTATGTAAAATTAAAAGAATATTGGAACATGGAGGGGTCAATTTAAGTTTTGAAGGGTCAATGGCCCCAACGCCCTCTCCAGGGTTATCCTCTAGTCAGACTAGATGATTTATAATCATGTTCGAGGAGACACGAGTCCCCTCTTATCATGTTTAATGAGACACGAGTCCCCTCTTATCATGATCAAGGAGACACGAGCCCCCTCTTATCATGTTTGATGAGACACGAGTCCCCTCTTATCATGTTTGATGAGACACGAGTCCCCTCTGATCATGTTTGATGAGACACGAATCCACTACACCTTGCACATGAAAGGTATCCTATCAATCCACAAATGCAATTTATTCATTCATCTTACCCCCCCCCCCGGGTATTTAATTTGTAGTGATTTGTATCAGTTTGAATCATTTTCTCAAAAGTATTGAACATTTGCGAGGGACTTGAATTTGTAAAAAATATCTCTCAACATGCGCTCCATAACATCTTATATCTTATTACAATTAGTATAACTCTATGTCTGAAATATAATTACCTCAAGTAATTTGAATTACAAAAGACATGGAAAAGAAGAATCTTTTTCTTAGCATTATATACACAATGTACAGTGAATTCCAAGATATGAACTTAGTCAGTAAAGATGTCCACACTTGGTGTTTCTAGTTAATTTGTAAAATAAAGCTTTAAAATATCTAAACCAGTGATTTGTGTTGGGGTTTTTTACGGACATATAATGGTATTTGGGGCGTCGGTCCGTCGACACTTTTGATCGTTTCAACAAAATAACTTGCTTAAATATCACACTCAATTTTGATGAAACTTGGTGAGCACATACTTTATATGAGGACAGAGGCTAAGTGTGAAGTTGAGCCGAAACCATGCATATCTAATTAGCATACTGCTCCAATTGGTAAAGTTCAAAACTTAAGTTTTAAGTTAAGTTGATGGACACACTGGTGTGTTGTGTAAATACTATATAAACATCATACATGTATTAGCACCTGTGAGTTTGGCCTTAGACCTTAACATGTAGGGTGGGCGATAATTATATCTGTATAGCCCACATAGGAACGTCGTAGGTTAAGTAGAATATATTTGGTCCAACGAATATGTGGTTTTATATATTACTCGGTTCATGTGTACAGTGTATGCAGTGGGAGTTTCCTCTGGCCCTGACATGTACACCAGACTTGGACATTTTAACAGATAGATGTCTTTAGGTTGGCCAGAGGAAACTCGATCAAGCTATTAATGTTTGTCGTCGCCTACTAAAATATGGATCGGGATGTCTTGCGTATAGATATATGGATTCAGTTATAGTCTTGGGGTTGTCAACTATAGAGATCATGCTATCGTTATAATGAAGAGCATAGTATATTTTCATGTATAAAGAGAAGAGTAAACATACGAAGCGTGTTACCCAGCGCCATTTTGTGGCTTTAGAAGGTGCAAAGACGTGAAATGTCCTCGGCTAATTGCTGCGAATAGCAATCGGTAGCCCGAGTTTCCTTTGGTCCTGACATCAGACTTGGACATTATGACAGATAGATATCTGCCACACCCGACATCTGTCTGTCAAAATGTCTAAGTCTGGTGCCAGGGCCAGAGGAAACTCGGGCTAAGCAATCGGGAGCAGGAAGTTGGCTGAGAGGACACCTTCATATCGAAGGAAGATAGCTAAAGGCTTAGCCAATTCAGGATAATTAGGGCCCCGTATCGGAGATACGGGTGCCCTATAGTAATCTTTCTGTCTGTCTGTCTGTCTGTCCGTCCACAAATTTTGATCCTGGCTAATAACTTTGTTATTTATTGACCGATGTACTTGAAACCTGGTCAAGATGTTCAGTTTACAAAAATACACATTGAGGTAAAAATTAAAGGTCAAAGGTCAAGGTCA